GCAATGACAATAAAGGAAGTCTTAGTCTACGTCTATAGACAGTTAGCATGTCATTGATGATTTGTCTTTTATCTTCTGTTCAGGAAGGAGAATTACACCTTGAGCCTGCTACTTTTGATCGGATGCTACTCTGTGATTCTGTTTCCTGCATATTTCCCCTCAAATAATGTGTCATCAGACGACAATGACTACCAGGATCCCAAAGATCTGGTAAAAAATTTATGTAATATCACGTTAGCAGGATCTTTATTAAATTTAGCAGAAGAACATATTTTAGCATGCCCCTCTGTCCTCAGCTCTTATTTAATCGATCAGCACTCCTGCTTTCACAACCCTGTCAACCTCGCCTGGGTCTGGACCACCTCGAGATGCTTGCCTGTTCTAAGGGCCTTGTGAACCTCCCGGTTTTTGTACAAGAGCACAGACCTGGGACATGGAATGAGGCCCCTCCTGGGGGGTTCCAAGGGGCTGAAGAACATTTGGCCCTGGCCCTTGCCTCTATGCCTCAGCCCGGACTGCCTCTATCTCTGAGTAAAGAAGGCAGGTGCAGGCGCTGTGTGGTGGTGGGGAGTGGAGGTGTTCTTCATGGTAGCCATCTTGGATCTCACATAGATCAGTATGATGTCATTATCAGGTATGTGGTTATGAATCAGTCAAATGTAATATAAAAGATATTGTAATAAATTGTATATTTAGTTGTCTATAGTAAAGAGCAGTTCTAAACAAATGACAGTAAATGCAGTAATCCGATTAAAGGAGAACTATAAAGTTAAGGCTAGTACGGTATTTTTGCAGCCTGTAAATGTTTTAAAATAGGTTTACTTACTTACTAACCATAACAGTGATTTAATCCTAAGTAATCCTTGGAAAGCCTTTACACAAATTGCTCCAGCAAATTCAAATTTCTTTTCAGCATTAAACTTTTAACTCAAAGTCTAAATTCTTAAGAATTTAAATTCTTCAATCTCCTTTAGAAAGGTGTTTAATTACGAATTTCACTAAACCTTAAAATCCATAAATACATATTTACAAATAAGCTTAAACACTCTTAGGCTATGGAAAGGTTAAAAGTGTCATTAACCCACACCGCTAAAGCAGAGCCCTCTTAATAGTTATACTTTTAACTTTTACACCATCATAAACAACTGCTACGACAACACTCCCTCCAGTGGGATTCATGTTGACATATTTGAAGCATTTTCTCTCCAAAGAATCACCCTACATATACATATCCAATCCAAGTTAAACTGTTTTAATTTTATATTACTTATCTCATGATTAAATGATTATAAAAAAGCTGAATGAAGTTAAAGAGTATCAATGTCATAATATATATATATATATATACATATATATATATATATATATATATATATATATATATATATATATATATATATATATATATATATATATATATATTCTTTACCTGCAATATAGCACAAATTAAATGTTTTCTTTAATGAAACAAGGAACAATGGAACCAATCATTTCAGGTCTTAATGAAGAAATTTTCTTTAACAAAAGCAAGGTCTATAATTTTGGGGATATAATGAAAAAACAACATGAACCATGAAAGAAATATACATTGTGTCAAGGCTAGATTTTTAAATTTAGATGTAAATTGGCCTCTAAAAACTCCTATGCTAATACAAAATTAGAGAAAAGGTGTTTATCTGAATCAGCTCGCTCTGCAGTGTGGGGCAGCTCAATATTATTTTAAAAGCCACATCAATCCTTGGCCCGACTAAGGGATGTCACACTTTCAAAAGCCTTGTAGATTATTTCTCCTGACTGGAAGTGATCTTCAAGATTTTTAGAAGTTCAGTAAGAATTTAACTTTTAATGTGATATAGTATAAGTGGAGGAAGTTAAAGATCTAATGTCTGTCCAATGTAATCAGCCAAAACATGATCTTTTAAATCATATTCAAACTTTTTTAAAATAATCCTTGTGTTTGTTGTGAAAAAAAAAATCATTTGAAGCAACTCTTAACCTTTTTTGGTTTCAACCTAATTTCCAGGCTGAACAATGCCCCTGTGCATGGATTTGAGAGAGATGCTGGATCACTCACCACCATCCGCCTAATGTACCCAGAGGCAGCGCCTCATTCAGCTGATGAGTACAAAAACACAGCCATGATAGCGCTGGTGGTCTTTAAAAACTTGGACTTGGATTGGCTGACCTCTGTCATCACCAAGCAGCCTCTGGTAAACCAGCATCAGAATTATAGTTAGCATTAGGCCTTCTCTGCAATATAAGCTACAAGTTTCCCCATCTATTCATCATAAAATGCTGTAATTGAACTTATTCTTCATGTATTTAGAGTTTCTGGTCCAAAATGTGGTTCTGGAGGGAGGTAGTAGATGATATCCCGCTGAAACCAGAAAGCTTCAGGATCCTCCACCCAGATATCATTCATAAGACGGAGCAAGTCTTACAGAAATATGCCCAGAAACAGGGAAACGTAAGTCCCTAAATAATTCATCTGTTTTCTATTGAAAAAACTGCATTTGTTTAAAACACAAAGCTAGATTTTATGTATAGGTCATCCAAGAATTTAACTGAGATGAGTAAATACCAACAAATTATAAAAGAACAATGACACTAATTTCTGATTTTATGAAATTATGCAGTAACTATGGAGTAACCGATTAATATATGAGGATCTCGTTTTGCTTTACGACATTAAACAAAGGGTCATTTTCTCTTTTTAATCAAGACGTCAGGTGGCAGACGCTGGCCAACATCAGGTGCCAGTGCTGTGGTGATGGCCCTGCAGCTGTGTGACCAGGTCAGCCTCGCAGGGCTTGGATACAACATGCAGCACCTAAAGGCCAGGCTGCACTACTACGGGGCGGTGCGCATGGAAACCATGAAAGCTCAAGTAAGCTCACAATGATGTAGGGATGTTGGGGTACTAGTTGGTACCACTGGTGTAACAAGTACTGAAAAATTTGATCCTTTATTGAATTTGATCCTTTATTGCACTAGCATAATCTCACGGTTAAAAAACGCTGTCACCAAATGATTGCTGAGACAGTCTCTGAAGGGATTATTGGTACCCCTGCCGGGAATCCTGTCATGCTAGCTCTATCTTCTCCTGCAACGTTTTACATGGTGTGCTTAGACTGTTAAATACTCCTTTCCTGACATATTATTTTAGATCATCCAGAATCTGTTTCTTTAACACTCTTCCCTGCAGATCTGAGGGCTTAGATGGCTGTGGTTGCTGTACTGTCTGTCTAGCTAAAAGTTGTGTTGTTCATGTGTCCTTTACTCTTTTTTAAAGATACATTGTACACTTTTTGTGCAAATGTGCTATAGAAAAATATCCTCTGAGTTTACTAGAGAAAAAGGCCCACAGCAGCACAGCTCCTATGTTGTACTTAGCAGAGATGGTGAATGAGTTTTTGCATGATTACCATTAAATCCCCCTCAAAATTCCAATTTCAGTCTTATGTGAGCAATTAAGAGGCTTATATTCATTTTATTTATTTGTAATTTTAGAAAAAATTTTTAAGGAACTGCTCTCAAAAAAAATTGGTTGGCAAGTAGGTTGATTGATTGATTTTTAAAGTGTCTTATTAGGCACTATCAAATAATATACAATAGCCTGGTGACAAAATAGAAAAAACAAAGCGTGACATAAGAGCCCATGAAAATGTTGTACTCACAGAGATCATTCATTATCTACAACCTTGAACAAAATTCACACAAACATAAATGTCCAGGTAGGAATCAAATTATTATTTATATTTAGTGACCCAACCATGAGGCTTTTTGGTTCAGTTCTCTGCCAATGACCTTTGGAGATTTTTTCTCTTCCCTTACTACCCTGGTCTCTGGGTACGGTGGCCCCAGGAGCTAAAATATAGGGCATTCTGTGTCATTTTTATGCTCCACAGACACAGAAAGTTCTAAATTAAAAACTAGAATTGGGGGAAATTTTGATGAAATGAAAATATCAAAGCTATAAAATGCAATTAAGATAAAAAATATTCTAAGATATTGTTGGGAATGCTAATAGATGAGTTGTTTTTATCAACAGCTATTATTCAATATTTTTTCAGATGTGATATTTTTTCCAAACCAAACAAATATTTTTGGTGTGTGAGATTGTACTAAAGCAATAAAGGCTTAATTTGATTATATTTTAAGGTTTCTTTTGACATATTTTCCAGGGTGCCTCAGAGATTTGTCTAAATCCACCCCATCAGGATTAGGCTGACTCTCGTCTTATATATTTTTTGTTGCTGTGATTTCTTTTTCAAAATCTTCCAGGTGGTGCACGATGTTAGTGCTGAAAAACTCTTCCTGGGGGACCTGGTGGCTGCAGGCGTGGTGACCGACCTCACGGGAGCTCTTTAAGTGAATCCACTGAACTCCGCATTGTGCTCCCCTTCTGGGTGTGAGTTGCTGCAGAGTCCTCTAATATCAGCTGTGTGCACAGCCCACCCAACAGCAAGGACTGACCTTTAAACGCTCCAAGCCTGAATGCCAAAGCAAGGACTGTAAATGTTAAAAGGCTGCAAAAACTAACTTAAGGAATTTCATTTCATTTAAATTCAAGCTGAATTTCGAAAATAAAAAAACACAGTATGAATAACAAAGATATATTTCATTTGAATTACGATAGAACACTGATACCCTTGATGTTTAGTAAATGAATGGTTTCATGTTTTCTTGTTATTTACAAACACTTAATAAAAGAAATCTAAGAACACTGCTATTCTTATTTAGAGAGAAAAAAAATTATCAGAAAGAGATTTTTATTGAAAATTGTCAATTTTGTCGCTCTTTGTCGCCAAGATGCTTCTTGTGTGGATTTCACAGCCTCTGATGAAAAACATCCAGTAAGATAAAGGTGGAAACTTTTACTTGTGCCAATCCCCGTTTCCACAAACCCACATGTTCATGATGGCGGGAACGCAGATGAAGGAAAGGGCAAGATTTAATTCCTCTATAGTTTAAACTCTCATAAAGAAAGAGACGGAGCATTTACTTGCTTAGATCCTTTATGTAATTAATGCTGAAAGTTAAAATATACAGTATGTTCACTTTTAAAAATACAAATCCTGCTAACTTTAAAATGGTGAAACATTTACATAAATTATATATACATGTGCATTGCTAATAAATAGGAAACAAATCTTCAAGGATGCAGAGTGTGATTTGAGGTTGAGGGGGTTGATGAAAGACACTGTGTTAATTCACCGGGTCGGTTGATTGTGCTAATTTGAGCATTTGTTTCTTATAAATTATTTCAGCATTTTTACACAAAAACATCAGGAAAAAAGAAATAGAAACCTGAGAGAGGCCTCCACCTGGCTCACAGGTGGAAGCCGTTTTTCCTGTTGGCTCCTAATGAAACAAAAAGATGGACACTTTCTGGACTCCCTGTTTGAGGATGATGTTTGTTCTACAGCAGCAGGTTGCGTGAAGGCTCCCACAGTTTGCTTGCCAGCTGTCTACAGTGCTGGAGGATGATCTCTGTGGGGATGACCCCCAGGTGAACGGTGAGCAGCTCGTAGCACTTCACCGTCTCCCCCTTATGGTTCTTGCTGTAGTATCGCAGGAGCCTCCTATTAGAAATGTAGCTTATATTAACAGTAAACAATGGCTTTTCTTTTTTTTCTTAAATAATCATTCTAAAGTATTGTTACTTACTTGTAGTAATCACAGGCAAGCATCCCAATGGGTGGAGAGTCATCGGGTAGAACCGGTATGTCCACTGGCTGCAACTTATACCCCTGATTGATCAGACATTATTTATAATAAGCAGCAAAATAAAAATTGTTTATTGCAGGGTAATAATCTCAGAATGGAAACAAACCATTCTTAATTTTGGTAAAATTATCTATAGCAAACAAACAAACAAACAGATAAACTGTAATTATTGATAGAATCTTCAGTTGTACATTTATTGGCACAAGAATACTCATTAAACTAAATAAATAAAGCATTTATCTTTTGGATTAAGTATGAGACAACAAAATTGACAAAAGACTCTTGGATAAGTAACAGGACTGAAAATGTACACAGGCATATCCAATGTATATTTAGTAAATGACTTTGTTTCAATGGGGTATAGAAAAGAGATCACGCTGAGGGTAATATTTCCTAGGTACTCCATAAAATACGGAAGAACATTTAGTAGTTTATATACTTTAATTTCCAGAAGAAAAGAGATGAATTCAAGAAAATAGCTCCTCCTTAATGGAAGAGGCCAGTTTCTCTAAGTCTCTAAGTAGTGACTACAGAAAATATTTGCTGCCATGCATCTACAGCCAGAACAATAATACAAAGTTTAAAACGGTCGCAATTGTGACAAACAAATCTAGATGATGAGTTAGACAGACATTTTTACAGCTACACACAATGGAAGATAAGGGAGGTAAAAAAAACCAAACAAAAATAAAAATAAAAACTGCAGGAATGTGTTTAGGTCACCAAATCTGACAAAATAAGATTATATAAAAGTTTTTATGAAGATCTATAGAACTGATAATGATTGTGGACGGTGCTGCATGCAATGAGGATAACTTACAGTTTCATTCTCAAACCAGAGGAAGTAGCAGAAGTAGAAATCTCCATCACGCAGTGTAACAGTAGAATAACCTTTCTGAAGATAGCGGCGGGTTGTCCTGACGAGGGCCCATACCTTCAGGATAAATGAGACGGCAATAAAGAAAAAAAAAGATGAAAAATACTGTGATTTTGACAAAGACAAAAATTAGAGTTATTATTTTTTTATCCAGCAAAGAAAAAGAAATCTGCAACAATTGAGCACCATCTTAAATGCCTCTTTCTAACGTCACATACCACAGGCTGACATCCTGCACTTAGTTTAAACACTACTGTAATCATGCTGCACATTTAAGCTGAAACAATAAAAATATGTTGAGCAGCTATTACCAGTTTACTACATCTTCATGACTACTTTCGTAGTCATAAGCTCGTAGCTTCGTAGCTCTTTTTAAATTCTTCATTCTAAATGATCACATTTTATTTTCCCACATAAAACAGTCAAGTTCTACGACCAGGCAGAGGCTGTCTGACCTTGTTTTTAATGTAATTGGCCACAGGCCCCTTCCCCAGCTCAGACGTAGTGCGCTCCGTGATGCTGAGTGACGGAGCGATCATTTGGCCAGTCGACCGGTCCACGCAGATAAAATGGACGAGGCCCGGGAAATCCTCCAGGTAAGTGAGATCAGCTTGGTCAAGAGCCATACAAAGAGGGTTTCATTTTGGAAGCTTTTTGAAATAGAAGTGCTACAAAAATGGTTTCCCAGGAAATTCAAGGGTACAATGTTGAAATATCAAACTTTTCTAGGCTCAATTTCTCCTGTCCCTGTTCCTTTGTTTCACTAAAGTACAAACTCCACAGTTGGAAAGGGGGAAGAATAACATAAAAATACAAAGAATAAAGTACAAGCCACACCTGTAATAAAGTGGCATTGAGATATAGTATGGAAATAAAAATGTTTTTAATCTTTACCTTTTTGATACTTCTCCAGACTTCAAAAAAGTTCATATCCAATGATATTATTTTAACTTTTTCTAGGTGCCCAAGACCCATATGACTGTAAGATGTTTTTAACCTGCTGGATATCTGTGTAGAAAACCAGCAGTAAACTACTTTAGAACTACTCTGACTTCACCCTGGAGTGTCACTACCCGATCCATCCGGAAGCACGATCCGTTCTGCGCTATCAGCTAATTTGTGCATGCGCATCCAGATATACATCCAGGTCGTCCTCGATTTTATTTTGTTAGAAATACCTAAATGACGTTTTCCCTCCCGAAAAATAGTAAACATACTAAAATATACTGTGTTAAAGGTTAATTTCCTGAGAAAATAAATGCCTTAAAATCCTTTCTGTTTTATCACTTGTCTCTGTCCGATCTGCATCCGTAAATGCATCCGGAAATGGGATCCTACGCTACTTCCAGTGGCTAACTTTTCCGGCTTTGCATTTAAACATAAATCTAGTCTGTTTGAGTTTTATGTTTTCATTTCATGTTAACCTTATGGTATATAATGCGTAATCTAAAGAAAGAAACAACTAAAATGCAGATAATAATGGTTTAACCATATTTTGCTGGACTGCTCTGAGCATGTCTGATGATGATGTTGGAGAAGCAGTTTAACGAAAAAAAATGTAAAAAGCATAAAAATTGATTTGCATTAGCATTCTTTAGTGAGTTAACCATCTTTTATATAAGCGGCACATTCCTATAATCTGTGATTCAATGTATAAAATTATCTTTTGTTGATAACGCAACATAGCCGTCTGCAGCTCAGGGGCCCATATAGGGGCTGGGGCAATTTTGAAAAAAGGATATGACACCATGGTTATGTTCCTCTTGCTTTTAACCAACAGGAAGTCTTTCCAGTCCATCAGTTTCTCTCTATGAGAAGCAAAGTAGCAAATATTTAAGATAAAATAAATCAAGGTTAGAGAGAATAAAAGGACATTAAAAAGTGCTTTAAAGACATTTAGTGATTGTGTTGTAACAACAAATAGAGATTTCTCAGTTGACTGATACGCACCGAACCATAGCCTGGGCTCGCTCCTGCAGACCTGCGGAGAGACGCTGAGTAAGATCTGCAGAATCAGACAGAAAACACTGTCTGTATATGCCACACAGCTGGGTCTTCATGTTCTTACACCACGGGATTAGCCTAGAAAGGAACACGTAAGAGATCATTCAAAGAAGCTTCAGACACCTTCTGCTGAGGTGATGTGTGGCCACCAGAGGGCAGCAGAGGACTTACTCTTTGTTGAACCCGGGGCCTCCTTTAGTGTATGCTCGGGTCTTAAACTCTACCCAGACATTTTGTAAGTGTGCAGACTGGGAGAGATTTAGAAAATCTATTGGTTGAAGTCCAAAGAATAAATATCCAACATTTAAAACGTGATTCCTTCAAATATGTAAAGAATCTTAGGAGGTTTACTCAAGCTGGATTACAACATACAATAATTATAATAAAACTAGTTAGCATAAAGCCTGACAGCCTCTAAGCTCAGTACCAAAGCTGGTATCAAATAAAAAAAAACAAACAACTACCTGTAACTCACTGGTCCCCAAAGCCTTGATGAATTTATCCATTTTGGTGCGTATATCTTGCATATTGAGAGGACTTCTTGCTGATGGGGGACCTCCATGGCCTTCATGTAAACGTTTTTCTAGCTTGTCAAAGTCCTCCAGATACTTATACACCGACATGGCCACTGAACTGGTGGGAATCTGACATGGATATGATCATATTCAATAAATTTGCATGAAAAAGTTTATTCAAAACAGTAACTTTCTATAATGATGGTTTTTACTCAAAGTTTCCAATACAGAAAAGTATTTTAAACACCCGCAAAGAGGTTGCTACATTGAATTTTTACAATCTAGGAATCATGCAATGTGTTTTTACAGCCCAACTAAGGATGACATCCTAAAAAAATTAAACGAAACAAAACAAAACATCGGTCAAACCATTTGCCTTTTAACGTATAAGGAAAGGTAACAGCTAAACTATCTGCTATGTGTCACAAGGAGAGAAGTGGAAATAAGAAAAAGGAGAAAATACTTTCTTAAATATAACCACAAACCTTAGTGAGCAGCACTAGTGTGATACCGGGCCACAGCGAGAGGCAGTACATGGAGTGGGGCATCATGGGATATAGCCCGTCTTTGTGCGAAACCTCAAGGAAAACTCTTCGAGGGCTTGAAGGGTCCAGTGGGCTAATTTCCAAAGTGTGCAAGCTGTCTTCTGCCATCTGAAGACATGACGACGGTTAAAAGTGTCACTTTTTATTTGCACATTACCAACTTCCAGCGGTAATATTCTGACCTGGATTTCTGGGTCCACAAACTCAAACACAGGAGTTTCTCCTCGCCCAGCCTTCTCTGGTGAACCAAAATGTAAATCTTCAGAAAAAACAGACAGAAACAATGTATTTCACAAATAATTTGACTTTAAACAATTTTCCACCTGAGCCGCTGGACCCTCTACTGGACGGGGACGGTTCTGGGGTGTAAAAACTTTCTGGACCGGAACCAGATGTACTTTCAACATCCTTCACAGACAAACAGACAATTATTAGATATAGAAAGGAACAGAAACAAGTTTTAGCAGTTTAGTTTTAGATACCTCAGGACTCGTGTCGTCTAGATCGATATTACTGGGATACATGTCCTGTGCCATGACAATGAGGGCCAGCAGGTCTGAGGGGGTGAGGATGCTCGCATTGCGACTGCAGCAACAAGCAGAGATGTTGACAATTTTTGATATAAATGTGATTAACAGGAGTCAGATATAGTAAACTGTACAGATTGTAGAATAACTGGGATGTTTATATAAAACCTGGAGTAGAAGGCGAGCAGCTTGGTGTGAACCAGGACAAAGGCGTGCAGAACTTCTTCTCCTGCTCGCTCCACACTGCTGTTGAGCTGCTGGACTAAGCGGCGCTCCAGGAACTCTATGCACAGTTCGCAGAGCTGGGGGTGAATTAACCTCTCTACTGCCTGAGAGAGAAGGAGGCATTTAAGGAAACCTGTTAGGGGAAGAGTTTATTTCTGTATAAATGTTGCAATAACCTAAAATAAAGCTTCAGTTTTCAATTGTGACCCTGATACTTATTTAGATAATTATACAAAAGATTATTCTGTAGGATAACATTAACAGTAGGTCCTTCTGCTTAAAGTAAACACAATTGTAATTTAAATATAATAAAATGCTGCAGTGAGGATGGGTACTTAAGGGCTGCATTACAGACCTTTATATGACTTATTCACATTTTAATATGACTGTGTTTTTGCTAAGCTTTTTATTTTGATCATCAGTTTTAGATCTTATATTTGGCTTTAAGTTTTTCACCTTATTTCAGAATAATTAACAAGTGAAACAAACATTTTAGGTTAGGAAATAATAGCAAATCCAAAACACAGTGGGGGCGGCAGCTTATGATGTTGAGGCCATATTATGTTATATTAGGGCCTAAATTATTTGTAATCATAAAATAAAAGATTAAATTTTTAGAAATTTGTATAGTTTTATTTTCTCAACAGAGTTTTGAATTGAGGATGGAAAGAAAAGCTATGAAAATGAAACTGTAGTTTTTTCTTATAGGAAGGCTGAGTTAAAATCCTGAGCCTAAATCTGCAGAAACGGACAGAAAACAACCAAACCAATTCATATTTTATAGTTTGAGGTTTAATATATATAGATATACTTTAAGAAACAATTTATATTTAATTTAAAAGCAAGAGAAAATTGGTTGACTGCAGGGATTCATTTGGAAAGGAAAGGGTTGAAGGATTTTGCATTTGTGAGCAGAATGCAGAAAAAAAAAAACTAAGCTTATATTTACTTTTTAGGCTGACTTCTCCGTAATTCCTGAACAGGTCTTATTCTAGCTTTATTCATTATCTGGAAAATCCACATTCTGTTCTTAAATTACGTCTTGTTTATCGAAGAAGAAAAGCTGCACCTCCACTAAGAAGCTCTGGTCGTTCTCCCGGAGGAGGCTGTAGGTGTCCAGCAGGCTGTGGAGATACTTCCAGAGCCTGGCTCTCTGCTCCGTGTCCTGAGGTCGCAGCCTGAAGGCGGACCAAGCGGATCAGGCGTCAGCCATACATCTGCTTTACGGAGCCCAGAGCGCTCATGAAAGCGACAGAAGAATCTTACTCTTTCCTCAGGAGGTTCCCGCTGAGCGTGACCATGCCGAACATGACCTCGATCATCTTTTTCAGCACGTATATTTTTCTCCTGAGGTCGTCCTCTTTTTCTCCGCCATCCCCGTTCACAGCAATGTAGAGACACTCATCAAACTGAACAGGCACAATATTACACAGATGGGTCTCATATTATGAGCACAAATACATCAAATGTGAATCAGAGCTGCTTTTAACATTGTTCTGCTTTGATTTCTTTTTTAAACGATAAAAAGGTTTTGACGCCATCATGTGCTGCAGACAAAACAAAGAAGGGCTTGATTCTATAACTCCCCTCACATGACAAATATGACGCCTCGCCCAGAGAGAGAGGCCCTCATTCAGGTCACTGCAGTACAAATGTGCTCTACTGTCTAACATTTCAGAACTAGGTCATAAAGAGCTCACAGGTTGGAGGCATTTTATTTTCTAAGAACTGTGCCACATATGACGAGCAGATCGTACCTGGTGTAGAACATAGACATGGTTGTTCTCAGTAGTGAAGGTAGTGTAACTGTCCTCCAAGGTGCTGCAGGAGATAATGATGGGAGCAAACAAAGTGCTCAAGATGTCCTCAAAGGCAGGGAGCTATAACAAAGAGCAGGAGATGAAAGGCTGCTGCTAAGAGTTCTACCAAGAAGGAAGGAAGAAGTCATTTTTTTCCGCTCCTCCTTACCCCCTCGCCTCCCTCCTGAGAAACACCATACTTCTGCTGAATATTCTGCCGATATTCCCGGTCATTCCAGTGGAAGAGCACCTCAGCGCTCTCGCTGGCTATCAACAAACACCTCATCTGGACAAGAGAAGCTTTCCTGTTCTTCTTTTCTAACAATAGGCTCTGAAACCTTGGAGCTGTAAAAAAAAATACTGGAAAGAAAAAAGAAAAACTAAGTTAAGCGTAAAGACTTAAAGCAGACGTGAGGGAACAGTAGGAAAATTGATGTCAAATTTGTTGCTTTTGACAGAAAATCAGTTAAGCTGGAAACAAATTCACATTTGTCCAGGTTTGGGTATAAGAAAAGTCAAATTTTCTGGTGTTGTAATATCTTTTGAGAGTCCAGTTTTATGTCTCTATAAAAAAAAAAAAAGCCACAAACATTAATGATATATTTTTAATGTTTATAATTTCATTTTTACTTAAATTAAATACAGATGAAATCAGAGAAAGGTCTAGAATTACAACATAAAAAAAAAAAAACATAATCCACCCATAGAAAAAAAAAAAACAAATGGGTAAAATATGTTTTAAATGGGCAGTAAAACCAAAAAGTTTTACCCAAAAATTGTTTTAAAAGCAGTTTTAGGTATGTGCCTGTAAATGTAAGCCATTAGTAATAGAATGCTGTTCTTCAACCATTTGGAGCACATGCAGAAACTTGCTCTCTAGTACAGTTAACATTTATTTCACCTGAGTAGTACTGTTAATCAAAAGAAGTGATGCTTGCAGCCATTTTGGCTCAACAGTGGAAATAATTTAAACAAATAAATAAATCATGATACTCTGGTTTTGAAATGTACAGGTCACTGATGTTAAGAGGTTTAAAAGAAAGCCGAAAAAAGAAATTAGTTACTACTTATAAATTCTAAATGTTATAGATGTAGGAAGCCTAAATACCTCCAACTGCTGGCAGATTTAGGTTAAAAGTAACATTTTCAATTCACTCAACATGTTTCTTCTGACTGGGAGTAATATTAACGTTCTGGACCAGCCAGAAGCCTGACTTCAATCAGTTAGAGTAAGGCCTACCCTGCCCTTCTGACCTCAAAGACTTGGAGCTCATCATGGAAAATAAATCATGCAGTGGAAACGTGCCAGAATCTGCTCAGCACTTCTAAGAAAGCTGTTAAGTTAAAGGGGATTTTTCCATTAATAATAATGAGGGGTAAAGATGGCATAAATAAAACATAAATGAAAATTTTTTTTGCATATATTTATATATTTTAAATCACACTTTTACTTGTCTCATTTTCCTCCAACTTATTGGTTAAATGAAAACAATAGTTGATGTAAATCTGTCTGAAATCCCCACGGCACTGTTGATTGGATAAGGAAGCAGCCAAGATGCAGAGAAAAGTCCTGTAATATTAACCCAGACAGCAGGCCTTGACATAACTTTTAATAGGGGGCGTGTTGGCCTAGTGGAGGTTACCAGGTGGTTTGACCACTGCTCTCCGGGTGCCTCACAATGGCAGCCCTCTGCTCCCTAACGGGATGGGTTAAATGCAGAGAGTGAATTTCCCCCATTGTGGGACAATTAAGGGATTTACATTTTTTTTTATATATGCCAAGTCCTTTCATCAGTCCTCCTTTTATTGTATTTAAATTGAAACATTTATCTTATTATATTTTATCTCCATTCAATTTTTCTTTTTGCATTGTGTTTATGTATTTTAGCTTTCACTTTTTATCTTTTGCTCTGCAAATATGATTCCTGTGCAGCACTTTGGTCAACCCCGGTTGTTTTAAATGTGCTTTATAAATAAAGCTTGAGTGAGTCCTTGGTTAACATGCTGCATGACAAAATAAAATCCCTTTTAATGCTCACCTTTACATAAACATATTGTTGACCAAGTTTCTATCTGGTTTTATCTACTAAAGTGAAAGACAATGATATTGAAAGCTTTGCAGCATCAGACACTGCAGCTCAGTGTCTGAATATTTTAACCTGATATGAATTAAGAACATTTAGGTAAAATTTTTGAAAAAGGGAAGTAAAATAAGGAAATATAATAAACAAGAATTAGAGTTTCATGAGAAAGTTACAAGGCCTTTACGTTGCACGGAAGACATTTTCAGAGATACAACTTTTATTTATTTTACTCACAATAGCAGCTATTTTTCACCCTTATTTCCAGCCTTTTAGTAAATATCATCTGCACCTTTTTAACTATGGAATTATGCAATTAAATTTATATATTGTAAATAACAATAATGAATAAACTTAGTGATGAATGACTTGGAATTTGCAGACCTAAAGTTTAGTAAAAGCACTTCCTCAGTAGAAAGGCGCGTCATCCGCTCTGCAAGCAGAAATGAGACTAAAACTGCTGCTCTTTTATTGACTCAGATTAAAGTTCACAGTTTCCCTGCAAACACGGATCATATGCATCTTCATAGCAAATTAATCTCACTGATTAAGCGTTTAGATGTTTTAATCCGTACATTATAAAGCATGTTTGTTACCAAACTTCAACTTCCTCCATTCCATAACCCACATCTTTGCACCAAACAGAGACTTTTAATTCAGACTCACTCAGGGCTTCTCAGCTCAGTTCATTGTGTAATTCTGGCATCTCCGTTCTTCTTCTCTGCTGCAATGAAGTCCAGATTTCTTCGTTTCTTTCTGCAGGTATTTCTCGGGTTCATTACTTTCTTCCGCACTTTTTCCACCGCGGCTCAGGAATCATGTGACAGAAACCTCTCAGAGCGAGGAGGGCCTGTATGGCAATGCATTTAGTCATATAATCATGGAGGCTCTTCTCTATGGAGGGTGACGCGTACCTATGTAGGCCTAAAAAATAAATAAATAACTAAATTATTTTTAATTGATGCATTAATTATTTAAACGTGCCATTGGTTTCTGAAAAGCAGAAAAAAGTGCTAATTATACTTTCAATTATATAGTTATTATATGGAGCTCAAAGTATATAATGACCATTCAATTTTTATTTTTTAATGAGAAATAGAAATCTGAAAATGAATTGTTTCCTGATTTCCAAAAAAATAAAAAATAAAATAAAAATAACAAGCCCATCCCTTTTTTGTCCTTTTGAAATCCCAGGTCCAAAAAAAACATCACAACCCTTTATCCATTTTACAAATCCAAATTGAAAAACAAAAGTTAAAAAAATACATTTTTTACTGATTCAGCTCTCTGCTCAACTCCTCTCTCTGTTTTATTTTGGTAGTGATCCAGAAGCAGTCGTAGCACCAACATAGAGAGACGTTGCACCATTCATTTTTGTCAGAACTATTGTATTCATAGTTATTGGCAGTTTTCTGATTTCATTGTCAATACATAAATACATTGTATTGAAATGAAAAAGCTATTAAGATCTGATGGACTGCCCTGAGACTCTTACTTTACTTCTTGTTCCAGAGAGTTACTGTTTACAAAATAGCTGGGAGTCCTTGTCATGTATGCCCATCGTTGTAGTGCAGATGACCAAAATATTTGATTATTAGGAATAATAATAATGAGGGAGGTTTATAAGTGACCAGGGGATGAGATTGTATGAATATGTTTTACCACGTCCATAGTGGTGTGTGCTCTGATGAGGGAGGGAGATGAAATGAGAGAGGATGTCTTAATGTGTTTTTACTTTTGCATTTTCATTTCGGAATTGGAAAATGATAATAGGTACATTTTTCTGTTTCCCTGCTTCAGAACACCATGAATAAATTTAAACTGTCAAATATTCCAAAAGTCTAGGAAAAAGGACTTACTGTTGGAGTTAAGGCTGCATCTACTGAGCCCAAGACATAGGCCCAATCTCAAACAGGCTCCTAAACACTAACCCTAAGCAGTAAACCTTTGTTTGCGCTTTCTGCAATATTAAGGACCGTCCCAAACCACATAGTGGCTAGGGTGGGTGGAGGACTGAGCCCTTAAATAGCGAGTCTGCATTAGTGCATGCTTGCAAGAATTTGGCAGTGGGTGTAACAGCTAGTGGGGGAAACACTGGCATTCAAATGTAAGTTCCGCTTTTTTGCTGCATCTTCATCATTCGGAAAATCATAAGACAGAATCATATGACAGAAAATCGTAAGTTAAGAAAAAGAAAAAAAAGACATAATTTCTCCCTGAATGGAAGGTCCTGATTGAAATGATGGTCTGCTTGTGAAAGCAAAATCTGTTGAGCTGTCATTTACCTCTTGGCCGTCTTTTCCCAGAGCTCTACTGGCAACAGGACAGAAAAAAAAAAATTCAGAGGGTACCTTAAAGTTGGTGCTTTGGTAAATAATGTATCGTTAACATTTATTTTTGAAGATCTGTTCCATTACAGTTTATTCAAAAATCCCCTGATGCCAAATAAGCATTAATGGAACCTGTTGGAAGTTGCTTTTCAACATTTAATATGTTTTTAATTTTGAAATTAATCTTAGATATCTACAATATCCATTCAGCATAAAAAATAAACTAGAAGATTCTTTAGTCTGCATTGCAAAACACATTGGTAAGGAAGAGTACAATTTTGCTAATGAAAGAATAACACTGGAGTTACATACACAGTTGATTGTGGAAAAGATAAAAGCTTTCACAAACTTACAATATGATTTATAGAGATCCACTTTTCCAAACAAACAAAAAAAAAAAAAAAATAATGAATCAAATGAGAGTAATCCCAAAGCTTTGCAGGCTTCTCCGTACCTTGATATTTTTTTGGTGTATTAATTTATGTTAAAAACTTAATTTTGACGACGAGAGCCTTAATAGTTATATATGAAAATCAGTTATATATATGGCCTTGTGGTTTGATTGTATGTTATGATAGCCTACCATATCCTAGTTCCTGAATCCCTTATTTCAGTGAACTGTTTTTTCAGGAGCCTTCCAGGAGCTGGATGATCAGTGAGCCCAGAAAAAGTCATGTGCCAATGAGTGGAGTAAAGCACATGACGGACCGAGTGTTTCAGATAATAGGTTAGTATTCATGGAATGCAGCTTCCAGATTTAGATTATATTGGACCCTTTGATTTTCAGATGACATTTTATGAAGAAAAATGGTTTGGGGAGGGCATGAATAAAATAATCCTCAATTTTTCCCCTTTGTAAAAAAAAATAAAACACACAAGTCATCTATGCATACCCAACCCACACATTTGTAAACAATCCAGTCTAAATATTAGAAACCTGACGAATGTCAAACTAATTACTGAAATAACGTGATTGTTGCAAGTTGTCCAAACATCTTTCAAGATACAATTAAAGCTTTTCAGAAATCGTTTCATGTGCACAGCTAGTCAATTGTACATGATACTACCACCGTCATACTTTATGATTGGTATGATGTACTTTTGACAGTACAGAGGGCTTTTTTTGCAAAAAATAAATGTCTTTTTGAACCATTTTGAACCTGACCAGGGTGCAATACGTTTCTTATTTTTCCTGACGGACACCTTTTGATAAGATCCTTTCCATCTTATGAGGGTTTTCTGCAGATCATAGAAATAGAAAGAGCACAAATACAAAGAGTCTATTTCATCAAACAGTTAACTTAATTTGAGGTGAAAAAGCATTTTTAACTAAGGCAGTTTTTGTCCAGGATTAGGTTTAAATATGGGGATTAATTTGGAACTTTGGAGGTTTGCACACATTTTAATTTGTATTGAAACCAAGGAACCTGGAGCAGACATTTGTAAACTGTCAGCATGAAGGCTGAGAGGAAATTAGCGCAGCTAAGATTAGTCATCGAATTTGCCTGTCAATGTCATTGGCTGTTGTTAAACAACTTTATTTTCTGCCCATTCCATGTAACTTTTGAAAGACACAACCACCAATCAGGCTCTTTCCCAGAAAGAAAAAGTCTGATGCCTTCAACAAATCTGTCTTGTATCATAATATTCTTCACAGACTCTGTTCTAGGCCTTTAAGTCAGGCAAAGAAACATAAATATTTATGTTTTAATAACCCGACGTGGGTCAAAATAGTTCCAAATGTCAGGTAGTGGGCGTTTGGGGCCAGAGTCTAATCTAGTCCATCAGTTTTGTGGAGACCTGGTGTTCATGGCAATCTTATTTAGGCTGACTCCTGTATATACAGAGTAAACATCATGAAATCCTCAGTGTTTGCTAACAGGGCAGGGGGTCCTTGCATGCCTCAAAATGGATCGACGTGTATAAACAGTGTTAGCTGGGCCTGAGCAACAGCTACCTCCACTGAGGAGAGTCTGTCACGCACAAGGGGCCAGAAACAGCACAGTCCCCTGAAATCGCAACACAATTAGGTACAGCCATAAGTGATGTTCAGCGTTATCAGGAGGCTCATCTAGTGCTTCCTTATTGTTCAAATTAACCTTCTTATGATAATTCATTCATTTTTCTTCAGAGATTGTAGATGTAGAAAAAAATGGTGCGGCTCATATTTATTTACTCAAGTTGTCAAAGTTGTCAGCAGCACTTTTTGAGTAACTGCAGCATAATTCTGTTAATGTCTGCTTTCTGTCACTGGGATAAAGAAATAAGCTATGTGTAAATATTAATCTGAATCAGAAATTATATGTGGCTAACAGCATAATGAGTACCACTATATGGGAATATGGCCAAGTGTTAACAATCCTGCGTTGACTCCTACTTGTCAAAAGACTCGGCTTGTTTAAAGTAAACCACATGCGATAGAAAGGCTATTAGGAGAAAACATTTCCTTCCTCACATAAAAGCAGGAGCCAATTTCAAGTTTATGAAAACTCAAACAGAATGTAATTAAAGGTACATGCTTTGGATCATGGACTCTCTGTGCTAACGGCACACAGACATAAGACATCAGCACAAAAATCACAAGCGTGGAGATTTTTTCCTGTGCCAGACTTTCAGAGAAGAAACCAAAGATTAAAATAAAAGCATCAAGCGGATCCTGGTTATCTGTGCATCAGCAAACTGTGAGCCACGTGTGGTTCAGGTTTGGCATCTTCACTTTGGGCCTGTCCTGGCTCCATGTTTCCCATTCTCAGTGACAAGACACCACTACAAAGGCCCGCTCCAGCTGCTTCCACATCTGGGCCTGTAGTATGTAGCACTTTGTAGGAGTGAGTGAGTGAGTGAGTGAGTGAGTGAGTGAGTGAGTGAGTGCATTAGAAGGCGCAGCTTAAAAACCGGACAACCTTCATGAAAGGATGCTGCAAGAAAGTTACAGTCTGTATTTATTATCTCTCCTGAAGAGGGTTTATCTGCTCTCATCTTTGTGCTCCTGTACCAGTTTAAATCAAAACCTTCCTTTGTCTTCACTCATGTTTACAGGCAAAGTTCAGTAGAGTCTGATCTTTTCCAGTGTTTAATACACATCCGTATTTTGGGGAAAAAAACAGAACACAAAGAAAACTTCAAACTTGATAAGTAGCTGCGGGTTTTTATTATCAATGTAAACTTTTATATTAACATAAAATAATATAGGCAGACTTTCAGTATTAAAATAATGCTCTCCAAAAAATATGAACATCTCTACATTACGTATAAACACATTCAGAGGCAAACCCTTTTCTATTTAACATATCTGAACACTGAACCATTTCTTGCTCAGCGATTAATCTGTTTTGAACTGCTATTGTTAATCATGAAGCAGTAAATGAACGGTGCAAAGCCTTAGTCAAACAAACACAGACTCAAGGTTGAAACAAGTTGGTGAAAATAAGTCTATCATAAGACCGACTATCATTTATTTACAGGACAATATTAAATTTAACTCTCAAATCCGTTCCTTAAAAAAGTTAAACTGTTTCATACATATGTTATAAAGAAATGCTTAGATGCACTTCCCCCCCCCTCACAAACCAACATAATTTTGATTGTAAAAGTGAAGTATAAGAAAAACAATGCATGGATATACATACATATATATATACATATGTATATACACATATATACATATATATATATATACACATATATATATATACACATATATATATATATATATATATACACATATATATATATATATATATACATATATATATATATATATATATATATATATATATATACATATATATATATATATATATATATATACATATATATATATATATATATAGCCCCTTGTTTATCTTTAAATTAAATACAATGGAACTAAATAAACTTAGAGCTCATTCGATTAAATGAACTACATGTTCATGTACGCTTTAGAGGGATGCAACAATGTTGAATTTTTTAAAGAAAGCAGTAATCCTCTGTATTTACCACATGCCTTTTATAGGTCAAGGTAAACATAAAGGAAGATGCGTTTTTAAATATTTTCATTTTCCTTCTACTTTACAATTATGTGTCAATTTCGTTGGTCTATGATGTAAAATCCCTATAAATTACAATGATTTTCAATAAATTAGAACATTTTTGGAAAGTTTTCTAATTATCATTAACTAAATAAAACACATCATACAAGATTACCAACAAAAAGACATAGTTTTATAAGGATTTTACCCTTAACAATATTTAAAAATTTAATATTTTTTCAAGACAATAATAAAAAGGTTCATATAAAAATATTGACATAATGAACAGTATTTATTAAATATTTTTGGGAATTTTTTTAATATTGATTTTTTTATTTATCGAAAATGACTGTATGTTGGGTTGTGGGGGTTTTTATGGGAAAAATCATGAAAATAGGCATCAATGGTTTTACATAACTCATTATTATGAGTTTTCTTTAAAAATAAAAGCCTTCCGAGCAACAAGACAACTGGACATTCAATATTAGAAACGTAATAGACCTCATAAATTAAATGTTTACTGAATCTAACAAATAGAGCTTATATTCATTTATTTTTTTATGTACATTAGTTGATCTAAAGTTTCTAATTTAAATTTGTACAAAGATGTATTCCGTACAAAAGTGACCTAGCAGCATTAACGGAGTATGGGTTATAAAATCTAAAATAAATGAAAAAAAAAAAAAAAAAAGCATAAAAATGTACCTGAAAACTGGGATTTAATCCAGTTTTAAACGTACTTCATATTTCAGCTTTTTCTCAGGAAAAGTCGGAACAGCATTACTAATGTCAAACTCTACCGGAATAAATGAAACCTTGCATCACTAAAACAAAAAACCCCCACAAAATTAGCAAGATCACACTTTTAACGTAAGCCTTTGGAAAACCAAGGGAACAAATGCTTTAATAGACACATCAGTAGCTTGTTCAATTTCATATTTTAAAAAGCATATAAACGCACCGTACAGGCTGAGATACGTACGCCAGAGCAGTTGTCTCTATAAGAAATGCTGCATTTGTGTTTTCCTTCAATTTTTGATAGATTAAACAGAAAAAAAGACACTGAAATAGAATAATTTTGCCATTTTGTGCACCAAACAATGAAAATGCCATCACAGTCGAAAAACAATAACTTATCACATAAAGTCTTGCAGCTTTTGAGGAGCAGCTGGTGAAAAAGAAAAGTGTCCAGCAGTGACGTCCATCATATAGTGAGAAAGTCTTGGTTAGAATAGAGGACTGAATGTGAGCTTTATCTGAAACTGGGAAGAGTGGTTTAAACATTCCAGATAAAATACCAAACTCAGTGTTAGTTCGCTGCTAGAGAATTTTGGGTGTGTCTCTCTTACACTGCTTAGGTGTCCTATGTAGGACGACACCATCACCTCTGATGATATGGCGTTTAGGCTTTGAATCCGGAGAATTCAGGGAGGTTCTGCCCTTGGGAATGAAGAGTCATTGTTATCTCCGACAAGCGTATGCATTAATGTTTTTGATGACATAAAAACCTATGGTCATTGGAGGCATAGCTATTGTCCTTCCTGCCCGTAGAATCTTAGGCTTCAGCTCTGGGAATGTCTCATCTTTACCCATAAGAAGCTTCTCGCCATTTAGTTGAACATGTCTGCAAAAAGAGGAAAAAATGTGCACAAAAGACCAACAGTCCTTATTTATTTGAGAACAGAAATAGTTTTAGACCCTTTAAAATTGGCATAATCACAACCAACATTGCTAAACAGAACTGAAACGGTAGAATTCGAGACACTTAAAATGGTCTTTATAGATGCATTTCAGTATAAATAAATTTTATCAAATATTTACTTTTATTACAATAATTTAATTGAAAGTGTGACATTCATAAGTTTTTAAATAAACACAGACAGAATTCAATATATCAAGTGTTCAGTCAACATAATATTATAATTGGCTTAAAGCTACAAACCTTAAAGATACAGTAACCAAAAAATTCACCTTTCTGAAAAATGTTGATATTGAACTAATTTTAAATTTAAAAACTGCTGCTTCTTTGTCTGTTTTTTTTTTTTTTTATACAGTCTCGCATCATAGATTATGTATGATAAACTGGGGTATTTAGCTCAGATTAATTTGCTGGTAAGTCAACCCCAGGGTCTCCATTGACATTTATATGGGATTATAGAAAGGTACCATGACCTATAGGAAATGCAAAAGAGTAAAAAGAAGGTCTAATAGACAGGCTTGCAGGCTTGCTTATTATGGACTTGATAAAACACAGCTGACCAACGCCACCCGCAACTCGTTACCAGAAATCAACACTCGCCGTGGAACTTTCACAAGAACCCTCCATCAACTTGGATTCTGTGCCTCCCCACTCGTTCTCCAGGCTCTGTGTGTTTGATTTAAAAGTTAAACAGAAACCTTCCTTCCATCTAAAGAGCTAATTTTGGACCACTAAATAGTATCTTTTTTTTCCCTTTATCCCAATTAATACATTGATATCTGTCAGGTTCAGGAGTGCTTTAACAAAGATTGTGACAGATATGTCCTTGTCCTGAGGGGTGTTTCATTAAGCTGGCCTATTCCGTAAGTCAGGCTTATCTGGACAAATATGACTTGTTTTGTTGTCATTTGGGTTTCATAAAGGTGGCTGGCTCTGTTTGCTTTGGTTACTCTGGCAATTGACCCAGCAAACATAAGAATGAAACTTTGTGCACTCTAGTGGATGCCGTTAGGACTACAAGACTGAAAGAAAATCCTATTAGCGGATGTCGTCTGTTAATCAGATGTAACAAATTTTATCTAATAAACCATTTATGAGTCAGTTATTTGAAAACATCCATAATAGACACAATAATGGAATTAGTAAATCATGTACACAAAATATCTGAATATTTTGTCTCTTTCCCTTATAAAAAAAAATAAAATTGCATAAGGCCATAATAGGCACACTTGGGCATGTGTGTCAGAGATGGGCTATCTTATAGATAAGGTTATGGAGGAGGGAGCTGCAGCTTAAATGAAAGCTCAGCATCATGTTTCTTCATGGATTAAAATCACCCTCATGACTCTTTGCTGCATGCATGTCACCGATATTCTGAAGATTGGTTAATTAATTTACTTGAATGCCTTAATTGTACCTAATCTTTGCAAGAAAACAGCACTAATTATGCACCAACTGCCCCCCAAATACTCTGCATAGGCCTGTGCTTCTTTACCAGAAGGTTAAAGCTGGGTGGGTGCAGTCCTCCCATTGTCTTTGTATCAGCCATCTAATACATGGTCTGCTTAGGTGCATGGCAACACCGATTAGTTGGACCTGTCTTGCATTAGCAAAATTAACCAAGGATTAATCGAAATTTCAAAATATCTTTGTGAATACTGCCAACTTAATTTCCATGTGAAAAGGGGCTTAGATAGAGTCCAAGTCTGGCTTTTCTAAGCCAGTTTTATGAAATACCCCTCTGGTCACATCTGTGTGTGGTGGCTCTTTAGCTTCTATCACAGCCAAAAAAACATGCCTTGTGAATCTCCTGATTTTCCAGCTGTTTTTTCATCCAGTAAACTTTCCATCAATGTGCTTTGATACAACTCCAGGTGAATAGCCAGCTTCTACAGCAATGACCATTTCTGACCTGCTCTCCTCATAGAGATTGTCAATGGGTGTCCTCTGGACATCTGTCACATTAGTCAGCTTCCCCATAATTGAAATAAGAGTAAGATAGCATTTCTTTCATATACATCTTCCACCATAGGTTTGATGTTATTTTCAAAATGTCTTGGATTTCCATTAACTGAAGGAGGATCTTCTCATTCATTTTTACACAAAACTTGTAAATCTTATAATATCTATTATTGGTGGAGGTCAAACAGTTACGCTACTAACTGTACTATAAAGGTTCACACTCTTCAAACTGTGGCACTGTCAGAGAAAAATTAAAGCTTTGTCTTTATCCCCCTGTAATGTAACAGAATAATATTAGCCTTTTATGCTGAACAGTGCAGCCTGCATAGTCTTCTAAAGCAAAGATTCCTTGTACAGAACACAGCAGTCATTCGTTGTTTTGTTTTGCTGCGCTGTGAGACATAATCACATTGGTTCAGTAATGAATGCAAAAGGCTTAAGAGGAAGATGAATCACTTCCACCTTCAGCTGAAACACTGATTCTAGCAGTTGGACACTTGGGGACGCTGTTGCGTCAGTTTTTTAAAGTTAACACTCACAGCAGTGCAGATAAAGCCTTTCAGATAAACCTTTGCATAAAAATGGAATAATGATGGATTCTAAATCAACACTAATATAAATATTTAGAACATTTAAATAGTATAATTGTGTTCTTAAAACAGAAATGTTTTTTATTTTATCAACAGAGGGCTATAATAATCAACATGACTATGAAATAAAAAAAAAACAACAAAACAGTAAAGTAACTTCTTTTAAACAGCATAAATACTTTAGAATCAATCTTTTTAAATTGAGAATTTAAACTGTTTTTTGGGTTTGACCTAAGATAATCTGAAGGGCATTTTGTCCTATTTAAATTGTATTATATTCTTTGTAGTAAGCAAAAATTGAACAGCAATGGTATTTCTATAAAAAGAGCAAATTACATTCATGAATGAATGAGGATAAAATATGAAATGGATTTTTTTTACAAAACCAAGAATAAAAAATAAAAAAACAACCCCCCAAAAAACATGATAAAGTTTATGAGGTTTTGTATTTATTTCTTGATCTCTCTCTAGATCAACAGCATATTTAGGATTAACTTTATTGTCTGCAATTCTTTTCTAAAATATTTTACCTTTCATCACAGCATCATCGTTTTATAAAATTCGAGCTTTTAAAACTGACTCAACCACTAATGTTATAAAGTTTAACATAAAATGGAAATAAAAGACGGTGTTCTGGAGGTTACTTTTACAAGAACTGACCACATTCTATAAAATTTAAAATAAAATTATTCCCTCTAATGAGAATTTACAAGTGGATCTGAAGTGTTCAAAGTTGCCCCTCTACACGCATTAGCCTAAACACTTAAAAAAAAAAGTCCCACAAGGGAAGCTTTATAGACATCTGGTGCTGTTGAATTGATCATTAAGTTCTCGTGCAGTGCCTGTGGTTAAAGAAAGCACCTTAAAGATAGATAATGGGACATCGTTAGCTGCCTCGCCTTTTAATTGCCTTACAATCTTGTTCCAACACCAAAAACATCCTTCATCATTATGCTGCTATGAAGGTTTACGTGTAAGCCTCCATTAAGGCCATATGCAGGTATCGTATACCTCAAAGAAAGCCTCACACATCCACAGTTGTGAGTCATTACGTTGTTATTTCAGGATTTAGAGCTTAAGACAAAGTAAAAAATAACAGGCCATGAGGCTTAGAGTAGACAGTGAGAGACTAAAACTATAATGGATTTATTTTAAGAAACATTTTAAGGAAATTAGAATTAAATGGGGTTATTACACTAAGTGAAATAAATCACAGATAAACATTTGCCAAAACAGCACTAACAGCTTCAATAAGTAGAAAAAACGAAATATTATCGTATTTTCATTTGAAAAGAAAAAGGAAAAAGGTTAAGCAAACCCTCAAATAATAATCTAGATTACACCCAGATGGAATAGGATTACCTGTCAGTACTGGGATTAAAGCATGTTCATACATAATCTGAGATTACTTTTGTTATTAATTAGTGCTGCATAAATAAACAGAACTGAACTTATTTTAACCTTCTGAATGGGCCTGTGCTGTGATCATTTCCTTTTAATACCATTAAAGCTCCAACAGAACACTACTGATATATGGGGAGCAAATAGGGGGAAAAAGCGTTTGCTGTAAAGTTATAAGATTGTGTGTTGATGTAATAGCATTAACTCAAGGTGTGTGTTTGCATGTTACTTTGTGTGTCATTCAACAAGCTTGCTGGCTCAGCACAACTTATGGTCTTAAAACTAAACAAATTTAATGCAGGTCTGTAAAGGGTCTGTGTTTAACACCTTATAAAAAATGTTTATAAAATTCCAATTTTCCTTATTCCTCAGCTCCATGCTCTTTAGACCACTGTGCAAAATAATTGCCCTTTTGTGGGTTGCATTCTTAAATCACATCATTAAAGAGTAAATAATTTGCTGTAAATCTAAACAAAGAAACAGGCAAGTATTAACCTGGCTCTGAGTCCACCCTCGCCGTGAGGTTGCAGAAGGTATTGATGGACGGTCCTGTTCCGTAACGTTCCTGCCAGCTTGATTTTCTTCCTCGACCGATGTAGATTGATTATGTAGACTGTTATGGATCCTCTCATGTAGTTAGGACTGATGCATAAAAGATCAAACAAAAGATTACTTTAAATTTGGACAGTAATGTCTGTCAGCAAAAAAAAAAGAAACACTCTATTCCACATCTGCTACTGGGGATTTACTATATGCCATTATAGATAAAATGTTCTATTAGTAAGAACGAATACAAAGAAAGGAAAGTCTTTGATATTTTTATCACATAGCTATGGGATAAAAGCATAACTCATTTATCTTATCTGGATCAAAAAGCTTTCAGAAAATTGAGAAAGTAAAGTCAAGTATGTCTAACAGATGAACTCCGTCTACAGTGGAAACCAGTTATTTACATACCCTGTATAAAAAGATGCACAATCCTTTTTACTGCCTGACATTAAATTATACTAAACCTCTTCTTCGTTTGCTCAGAGGGGAATACTAAACATATTATCATTGCATGTTTTCAAAAAAATTTTGTCCAGTTCATCTGAGAGCTGGTTCCTTGGTTTGGGTTTGTCGGCCACCATGCACACACCTTTTTAGCCCTCTACAAATGTTCTATGGGGCTGAAATCATGATCTTATGATGACCTCTCTGTGACATTTGCTTTGTTGTCTTTGAACAATATTTAACAAATGTGGCAGCACACTAAGGATTGTTTTCCAATTTTGTTTAGGCACTGCCAATGAAAGATGATGTTGCCACCATCATACTTCATGGTGGGGTAGTGAACTCTGGCTTGCAAGCTTATACTTTCCCTTCCAAATGTAATTGTGTTCATTATGACCAAAATATATATAACTTTTTATTGGACCACAGGACATGTCTTAAAAAATGTAGGGCTTTGTTCCAGAGGACATTTGCTGTACTCTGACTTTTTATGTTGTATCCTCCCTTTAAGCCATGTCAGCTTTTCTGGGGTTTAAAAAACAAATTTTAAAGAACCTGTCTCCTTACTTGATAGTATGATGGCTTTTAACTGACTATAGTTAAATAATAACTATGGTTTGCATCTTTGTGCCTAATAAAATAGTACTTGAGGGCAGATTAGACTCATGGAGGACTACAATTCTTTTTTTGCTATTGTGGCTGATTTCTTTGGATTTTCTAAGATGTTACAGAGATGCAGTGTTTGTGGTGTCAATCTAAAATATATCCAAGGTGAACTTCTATGCCATTCAAATGCTGTAAATTGATTGACAAGGACCTACAAAGCCATGAAATAATCTGGGATTTTCAACATAGTTTAAATGCAAAGTTACCTTGGTGTATGTAAACTTCTGACTTTGAAGAAAGTTATCAAACAATGATTTTAAACTGTTCTCTCTGTTTTAGCTATTTTTGTTATTATTAATGACCTACAATAGAAAATCCTTGGTCTGATTTTAATGTCAGACAACAAGAGAAAAAGTTAAAACACTTTTTTTTCTCCCCACAGTGGAATATCTGGGTTTAACTACATGCTTAACATGAATACATTGTTTAACTTTATTTTGAAGCCTTTAGGATTTCAATTCAACTAAGTATTATCAGCCTGTACAGTATACAATATCAAAACCTGCTGTTGTCTGGTTCTGGGTCAAATGGAGGGTGTTCTCACAAAAAGGACAACAATTCTTGAGTTACACAGACAACAGTGATTAAGTCCTGCTCTAGGGAGACAGTTTGATAGGATTATTAGCCAAAGGTAAATAACTTAGCAAGACGGATAAAACAAACATGATAAAATCTTTTAGGAGCCCAGATATGAGGACAAAGACAACACAGATGTAGTGAATACCACATGTCAGCCGTGGTGTTCGGGGTCAAGGCTAAATAGTCTGGTGGTTAAAACTCTACCCTAAAAAAATCTCATAACCTTACTGCAGACTTGTTTTTGCGTTCAATGCTTATCTTTCTTTTGGGCGTAGAGTGAACCATTTATTTCATCACTGCAAGACAGCAAGTATTCAATATATTTACCGGAGGGCAGAAAAAAAAACTGTTCTGGACCTGGGAACACAGCGTGTTTGGCTCCAGGTTAAACTCTCAATATCTTGTTTTATAGAAACATGAAGTGAGGTTGAGAGTGATGGACCCCATATTAGATGAGGGAATTGATTATCACCTCTCATGCTTAAATGAAGAGGCGCCAAGCTAGATAAATATACTCCCTCTTTGATGTCTGAACATCAGTAGGAAGAGAACTAAAAATGTCACACAAACCACTAGGAGGAGGTAAAAGGGTAGAGGAAGTCAAACATCTAAGCTACAGAGAACTTCCTAACTTCCGGCTGGACACACTTACAGTACAGTCAAACCACCAACACAACAACGTTTGTTCAAATGCTGATTGTGACGACCATTAGTGGCAGAAATAATAGAAGGGCTTTAACATATGAAAGAGGATGATTTTAGGCCTAAGTATTTGATCATAAGTAAACAACTCCAGAAATTCTGCAGATAACATCGCTGCACTTCAAAATTTAGCAAAAAACAAGTTGAAAACTGTCAAGAGTCTTCATGCTTGCCATGTATAATATACCATTAGACTGTCTGATCACCTTTTAACCAAATTTTCTTTACTGAGATGCTCCCCCTGTAAGTGAGCCAAGTCTAGGGTAAGGCCGTAGAGTAAGTCTAGCTTGGTGCTGACAGCCTCTGGCCAGGGTTAGACGATAACCTTGAACAGACCATGGTTGCACTCCTTTATCTCCTCCCAGCACAGACGGCCTTATTGTCCCTCCTCCGACCCCCTCAAATATCCCCCTCCAGCCAATCTGAGATGGGATGAAGGCTTAGCACACCTTTCAGCGGCTCTTTGACGACAGGGAGTCAGAACTCACACACCTGATAAGTGATACCCGTTAACTTTTATAGACACCGAGCTGTGAAATAGCGGGTGTCCACGAACTGCTTATTTATGGGAAGCTAAATGAGCCAGCAGGGGATTTTGTTCGTCCCAACAGACAATAAGTCTCCTGGTATTTGCACAATGACACTGGGGGTTGTTTTAACTGCAAAAGTCTGCTTTGTTCTAACACTTCAAAGCAATGCTAGGTTTTTCTTAGAATGGAGAAAAGCTGTCCAAATCAAATGATTTCTTGTACATACTTGTAGTAGCTTGTACAGTGAGCATAGATTCGTAGCTTGTCCCGAATGACTCGCCCTGGTTGGGGCTTCCTCTGCAGTCCAGCTACTCGGACGGCTAAAACCTTCGGACCAACAAGGCGCTTGAAGACCAGAGAAAACCAGTAGTCCTGTAGGAGCAAGGCCATTGGTACACATAAATAGATGTATTTTACAGAAATTAAAGCATTAAACACTTTACTAATATAGCCTTCATCGTTTAGAATTTAGCACTTCTAAAACATGAGGCTGTATATTGAATTTCTTATTTGTCAATTTCTAAAAAAGAGAAACTAGTTCAATTTTTATATTTAAACTTGAAATGCTGCTTATAGGGGTCATAGAATGCAAAACCAAGTTTACATAGTCATTAATGAATAACAATAGTTCAATGGGTGAAATTGACGTACAGAGAAGTTCAAACCCCATTGACACCTCCTTTCTCTGCAAATCTCACAATTTTAAAACTTCCACCATGAAACGGGTGAATCCAAACGAAGCCCCGAATTTTTGTCAACTTGGGGATGTTTTCCTTATTTGGTTCTGGCCTGTACTTTTGTCACACCCGGAAATTGACATACAGACAAGCCCACTGGTTCACTAGCCCAAGAACACAAATAGAGGTAGATGTAAGACACTAGTTTAGCTGTTTAGCCTACAGTTGGGTTTACTTTAACAAGAATTACAAAGCAAGCAGTTTCTCTATTGAAAATGAGACAGAACCCCAGGTGTAAATGCAGTGTTCCAGGCTGTACTGAGAAAGGGGAACATTTTTACCGTCTTCCCAAGGATCTGAAGACTCAACAGGCATAGATTATTTTTGTGTATCAGAAGATCCCTGCATATTTTGATGCTCAGCTGTTCATTTGCTCTAAGCATTTTCCTGGAAGACAGCTTTCAAAATCTTGGACAGTTCAAAGCAGGATTTACTAAACTTCTTTTACTAAAAGGTGGGTCTATTCCGTCCGTAAAGCCATCATAACCACAAGCTGTAAGTATTATTTTGGAAAGAGCAAACCCGACCCGGTAACTGTATGCTTCCCCCGCCTGCCTGGGGCCGCCCCGGTGTCCAGGCTACTGTCACCGGGTCGGGTTCAGCTGCTCCGTCCCCCGCTGGGCCCTTGCCCCATCCGCCGGGGTTCCCGGACCAGCCCTGGGGCTGACGGTTCCATTTTGCTGCACTGTAATCGACCAAAATCCCGGACGGTTTTGAAATTACCCCCGGAAATTTTTTTGGGTATGAAAAGTAGGACATGTCCAGGAAAAAGAGGACGTCTGGTCACCCTACCATATTAACAATTTGATGTTTCAGTGAATGAGTGCTTGTTGCTATGATGCATCTTTGCTCAGCAGCTTCACTCGTCCTAAACAACCAATCAGTGCACAGCTCATCTAAATATTCATGAGCATACCATAAAAGGAAGAAAACCTGTCGTTTCATTCTAGGGCTCATAACCACACCCCATTCAGAGACCTTAAGGACAAGCACCAAATACCCTATATAATTATTCTATGACCCCTTTAAAGCTTGTCCCAATCCTTATCCATTGTTTTTTTTTCTATTAAAACATTTATCAGTGCTAAAATTGCATATGTACTCAAGGTCCCAGTAAACTCTGTTGCTGTATTTAAATAGAGATGCAGTCCCATCAGTAATAAACTCATAAAATCATTTATTTTTCTAATGAGCAAAGACCCCTGACTAAGCAAAACAAGTTGATTATAACACCCTTTGGGGGAAAAGGAGATATTATTTCAGTCAGAGGAAGAAAAGAGATTTAAGAAGCTATTTATTCCTAAAATATTACAAAACATGTCCAATTCACTTAGGCTGTGAGAGGGTGAGAGAGAGCAAGGCTTCAACAGACGACATAAACGCTGTAAGGGGTACAGCTAAGTTGCTCTGTTTTATTCCTTTAAACCGTCGGCCTGTGCTGTCTTGGGCTATGTTAGATTTAGAAATAATGGCAGCAATTTAGAATTATACAGTTGAGAAATAATTAATGCTCTCTGAATTAGATAAATGATAGAGCATCTGCTATTTTTCCAATACCAGTCTTGCTAACCACAAGAATATAACACTAAAATTATTATTATTTTTTTTTTTTTATGGTAGACTAGTGTTTTACAATGTTTGTTATCTGACAGTTATATTGCTACTGAAACAATTAGTGATGGCAGCAAAGAAATTGGCAGTTGACAGCTTAAACCTTCTGAATTCTGATAGGGCCTTTTTATATTTTAACATATTTTTCTTGGAAACAGTTGCTTTGTGCAAAGATTAGCTCTTATTTTATGCAATTTAAAAATATTTCCCTCATTTTGAATTAACCTAGCAAGAAAGTATTCTGGTGATTGTAGAGATAAATTTTATTTTGCTAACTTTTAATGAAAAATGCATTTAGAAAGCATATTTAAAAGAAATTTGTCAGATTTAAAAAACACCCAAACATGGGTGTAGTTTGACAGAACCAAGATCCATTTTTAAAATTCACCCCTTTAATATTAAATTCATACAAAACATTATGCTACATTATAGATTGTTGTTTGAGGCTATCCTCATTAAGAAGTCCACCATACTACATCCCACTGTACAGCCTACACAGACTCAACACCTCTTCAAGAGACCCAGAACAACATGTGCTCCTCAGGAAGTTCCCATGCAATCCTGCATATGGCAACATTTAAAGGCTTCTTTTTTCCACGCAGACTTTAACTTAATTTGCTGCCAAGGCATCGAAGAAGCAGAGCACAGTATAGAGTGGTGTATTGTTGACAATGACTGACAGATGAATACCCGGTCAGACTTATGATCTATCGTAAGTACATCATGCCTATTGGAGACTTTCTTCTCTAGTTTTATGTTTTGAAAATTTTCACAAATATAGCTTAAAGCACAAACAGATATGTGCATCTTAGTGTAAGCCGACTCCAAATTTGTTGACAAAACAGTTATAGATATGACATAATTCTATATTGGTTTTAGACATACTTTCCATGGTACTGAATCTCCAGCTTACATGTTTGTCTAATTTCTTGTCAAACTGCTGGATAGATCACAGCATAGTCTAGACTCTTCCATTGAAGATAAACAGAAATGCAAACATTACCTGCAGGAGCAGCCAGAGCGAAACAATGCAATCATAAAACAGTTTTAACCAAAATCCAAGAGAGCCATGTGGGCACAACTAAAACACTGATGAAATAACCAAAAAGTAAAACCCCGTTGTTGTTACTGGTGTAGTTGAAAGGGATAAACACTTGAAAAAAAAAAAGAGGTCATGCTGTACTTTGTTTTTCTTTTTGGGATGCATTATTATTATTTTATTGAAACTCATAAACTAATTATAGGGCTACAGATTAATATTTTAGAGCCAAATAGAAGTATCAGACTGCAGCCTTCAGACTCCAGATGGTCTCTTCAACAAATAATAATTTCACTTTTTTAAACTGCAGATTGCATACAAGAATAAGAGTAAGATATACTTTTATAAAGAAAAGAAAATATTCAACCTGCCTTGGTATGTAATATAAATGTTTTTACCCTTCATACAGGAGCAATATGTTCTTCAAAAAAGCAGATGTCTGCTCCTTAAAGAATATATCTTAGATCATCGTCAGCCTGGAAGAGGAGCTTAACACCAACCTCCAAAGACAGTCTGGTCATGAAAAGCAAAATCAACAAAGAAAACAGGAAAAGGGAGTATGATTACAAAAGAAGGGTAAGCAGTAAGGACAGGGAAGGTGAGGAGGAAAGTGTGGAAAAAAGATGAAGTGGTTCAGTCTTTTAATGGGCTGAGGGCTTTGAGTGGATTCTACCAATGGCAGAGTCATCCTATAGGGGAAGAGGCCAAGTCATAAATTTCCCATGCAGAGGACAGGTTGGCCCTGCAGTGAATTCTCTCAGCAGGTAGGCTTGCACAGCCGTCAGACATCCAGCCATGTTAAAAGCATTGTGATCCTAGCGGGAGCTCAACATTCCCAGAAAAATAATGGAAACGAGGAGCAAGGAAAAATGAGGCCATGTTGATTGATACATTTTAGAGAAAAATAACCAGACTTCTGCTTGAACTATGGGCTATAAGTTGGATCTAAGAGATAGATAATACCATTTAAAGTTTTGGAGAGATTTTGGAATTTCAAATTAAGATTTTAGGGGCTGAAATAAAAAAAAAATATATATATCTGAATCCAACATCTTTTAAAATGATTTTTAAGCCATAATTTTAAGAATATATTTAATTGCATATTTTCTAAATTGTGCAATTAAATATCAATTACATATTAAAAAGTGTATTTTTCCTCCTGGATGGCCGAATTACAGAAAAAAGTTGGTGTTAAGCGTCTAATTTCCACACAGAGTTGCAGGCTATTTTACTAACTTGCCTGCATATCAGAGTCTCAGGTTCCAGATCTCTCACCGGCTGCCTGTCCCACACAGAGAGGCACACAGTTAGGATGAAGGTAGAGGGGAGCAGTGACACTGTCCTGAGCTCTGATAAAGGGCTAAGGTTACATGGCATTTTGCCCTTACGTCTGACCACTCATCGCCACTAAACGGCTTTCATCTCAGCTAATAGCTCCCACGGGAAAGAGCCAGAGGTGCTATCAAAGCCCTGGCTATGCACAAGAAACGTTTCAGAGCCTACCAGGACTGGTTGGGTCAGATCCTGTTGTTGTGATAAAGGCTAAACTGTATGTCTTATGTTCAATTCTTATCTGGCTGATTAAAAAAACAACTTACAGGTAAAGGGTTAAAATGCTGATCCACAAGGTGTGCGTATCCATAGTCAAAGAATGAGTGCCGCAAAACCACATCAATGCCTTGAACAGCAGCCACACCCAGCGTGTTTATCCACCTGGAATAGATGGAAATTACAGGAATATTAGAAAGCTAGCTGATGCATTTAGTTTCAGAACAAATGCCACAATGCTGATAAATACATCACTTCCACTTATTATCTTTTTTATATTTGTGTTAAGTCACTTACAAAAAGCTTGCAGCGAAGGTCTCAGAGAGATTGTTGATGCCTCCAGCCCATGCTGGGGCAAGTCCACCCAGCCACACCTTCTTCCCTGGAGTGTGTGTGTTAACAACCTGTAAAGAGCCACCAAAAAAGCAGGTGAATACATCAAAATTTCTTAAGCTATTTAAAATTGGGGTTTTTTGAATGCCAGCCTGAATACAAAAAGGTTTAGCAGATGGTACATGTGTGTTTTCATTCCGGTAACACGTCACTGACCACATGTTGCTGGATTATCAACAGAGTGGAAAACAACTCACTTAAAGCCAAAATGCTCATATGCTGTAAGAAGTAGTTTATGTTTATGCCAATAACAACAAATTATTAAAAGCATGAATTACAGGTTCAATAAAATCAAATGGATTCTTCCTTATGTGTGTGTGAATGAAACCTGTACAGATTTATCAGTGATGTTTGTGAGAGACGTTATGGATAAATTAGGTTTGCTATGTAGAGCTGAGTGTATGCATGGCCTGAAGCACAAACCTGTCATATGCACACTCTTACTCATTCTTTCTTTATATTATCAAGATTGGCAAAAAGAGGAACACAAATGGCTTCAGCCTAGGAATATCATTTAGCCCTCTGGCCCCAAGTCTTAGTAGAAGAAATATGGTCCAGGTTAGGATACATCTTCTGAAACCTTTTACTGTTATGAATTTTGGTGCTGGGAATGGCTGTTTCATTTCCCCCAGGCTCTGAGATGTTTCTTTTTCACAAATCAGTAGATTTGACACAGAGGCTCGTGTTGACCATGACTTTTTCAAAGGAATGGTACCGTGTTTCATAAATAAATGGATTTTTTTTTTTTCATATCTTCCCCTCAAGGTGGTCTGTGAATCTAATTTACAAAAAAATACATGTTGATTAAAGAAAATATTTGTGAAATTCATATGTTTCATATGGTGATTTATAAACAAAATGATTTAGCTTGTTTTATATAAAACCTAAATAAAATAATATGTAAAGACCTACTATTTGCATTACAACAATGAATTCCATCATGGAAATGTGTAGTATTTAAACAAAGAAAATGTAAAAAGCAGTAATTAGGATTTTTAATGAAACTGCAGTACCTTGGTGACTTTAGTAATCTGTTCTGTCAGTGTGTCCAGAAGACGAGTCTTGAGGAAGTCCTCTGCTTTTTTAACTCTGCCATCCATGAAGTAACTAGACAAAAAACAGAGAACACTCCATCAAAGAAACACCTCCTTAAAAAAATAATTAAATATGTTTAAGTACTTTTTTCACTGCAATGACAAAGGTACATATTCTAAAAAAGCTATTTAAATTGTTTCAAATGCAGTCACTTTCTTTACCACGATAACTATATAACTTATCCATAATTCTGTTCTATTCTATTCTGTTCTATTCTATTGTAAATATTTTTTATAATAAGTTTATAATATATCTTTTAGGTTAAAACACAAAATGGTGTATCTCAACAAGCTGTCACGTCACTTTAATTTGCAGATTATTATAAATACCGTTTATTCTTGCATCCATACACAAACATGACAAAACTGCTGACATGGTTGAATTTGATGACGAAATTAATCTGGAATTGAATAATCTCATACCATATAACAAATCAAAATGTATGCAAATGTTTTCAACAACATAAGATTTATTTAACCATAAAAAAAAAAAACAATAAACCAACATTTATGAATGCAAAATGACTCATGCTGACTCAAGCTAAATTAACAATTTAAAAACTAGTATTAAATGACACATTTTAAAACTCTGAGGATTTTTTGTATGTTTACAATTAGAATATTGATACCATACATACATTTTTATTATAGAGGTCACTATCAAATAAAGAAAGTAAGAACTGTTAAATAAAAAATGGCAATAGATACATAGTTTGGGTTAATATGATTGTGAACTGTAGAAAACCAAAGCCAGTTTCCTTGTTTTTATACACAAAATTGATTATTTAATTTGATTCAGATTCTAATATATCTGTTAATTGAAATAAAACTGAGATAATGTATTAATCCAACTTTAACTCTGACTGTCCTCACAGAGGGACAGTAAAATAAATCATATTTTTATTGTAAAAATATTTTTTCAAGATGAGAGAATTAAGACTCAGATTAACTGTATGTAATAAAATACAAAAAATGTAAGTAACTATTTAGGAGAGAAATAAGTAAGAAATCCAGTGTAAAATAAACCAAAATCTTTCCAATTCGTCATTCAGGAATGAAGTAACTTCCCTTAAAAACTTAAGTACACTTTTTAGGTATCTATACTTTACTCAATTACATATTTTTCTTCCTACTTCTGACTTCTACTCATTAAATTTTCACACAAGTATCTGTACTTTCTATTCCTTAAATTTTTTAAAACAAATATTACTTGTTACTCTTGGCTTTGGTTTTATGTTTATAAATATTTATTTCACATCATGTGTGCCATCAAATGCAGATCATTGGCTCCATCCACATCATCAGTGAAAACTAGTGCAATTGGATGAGTCATAACGCAAACACTCATTGGTTAGTTAAAGGAAATAATCAGAAGCAAGCAGCTGTTCTTCAAACTGCAAACGTGAATTGTCTATTCCATGCTACAATTTCAGATTCAGAAAAAGATGTTGACATGTCTGAAAGTTAGGACACAGGCGAGAGCATATCGGGAGATGGAAATGGAGACCAACAAGATCTCCCTCATCCTTGGCCCTATCTAAAGGAATTTTTCGAAATAGTCGAAAAATTGGTTACTTTATACTTTTATACTTTAAGTAGTTTTTGGAGCACATGGTTTTTCACTTTTACTTGGGTGAAGAGGTCAAGTTGATACTCCAACTTTGACCGGTGTTTTTAAACTGCAATATCTATACTTCTACTTAAGTAACAAATGTGTGTACTTTTGACACCACTGTCCCATGGTTACCAAAACTGATCACAGCATTTGTTTTTTTTGTTGGCAAAAGAGCAGCAACCTGCTAACATGGAAGCCAGATAGAGAAGCGAACCAGGAATATTCTGAATAATATCTAATATCCTCCAAAAGTATTCACAACAACAACTTACTGTGTCTGAATCTTCCTCACTCATCATCCTCAGTTTAACTGTGCCACGTCCACCTCTATGTACTTGCAAAGTTGCACAAGGCTCTCCAATGGGATGGGGTGTGGGTAATCTTTTTGTGTGTTGTTTTAATTAGGAATAATCAGTGTCATTATTACTCACTGTTTCTTTAATTGTTTGAAGCTCAATAAAGGATAATTAAAGGTGTTTCTTTAATTTGACGAGTAGACAATGAAAACTGATTAGTAAACCTGGAAACAAAATCAACCAATAAACTTCAAGATAATCATCTAAGCCCTGCCCACTGCTTTTATCAATTAGACTGCTGGAGGAAATAATTACATGATGTGAAGCAGCAAGATCAGGAAAAAAAAAAAAAAAAAACTTAACTTAATTTTATTTATTCCTTTCCATTTTTAGCTTTGTAATACTGTATTTATGTTATCTGTGGGTTAAGTATTTACACTTGGGGCATAAAAGGGGCAGGGCTAACAAAGCAAAAAAATTAATGAACATTAAAGTAATTAACTATACATTTTTTTTTATTGATTAATTCTTTAATTTAGTCTAAATGAAAAAGAATTTGCCAACCTTAAAAGTCTGTAGGTCTTCCAGGCCAGCAGGGGGACCACAGAGCAGCAATATAATATGCTTATCCCTCTAGCTGGCCCTTTGCGCGGAATCACATTTCATAAGGTTTGTCAGTGACGTTTCTTCTGCATAAATAAAGCAACTTCACATATGCAGCACTTTAAAATGTAATCAAAAAAGTCTCATCCTCGTTGGACTTAACTTGTTATAAAAACATGTCAGCTCACTTTACTTGTATAAACAGACACTGACATAACTGACATAATCAATTTTGCTTCAGGACTTTGACAATCCAGTTCTGTGTCAAAATGTTGGACTGCATGAGCAGAGAACCTGGAAGTCCTGTGCTTTAGCAGAATGAACAATTCAAAAAACATCTGCAATGGTCTCAAGATAAAGTCATACTAAGAAATGAAAATGAAAAATGATGTTAAAAGACCACGATGAGAGAGAATTTTGTTGATACTTAGAGTCAAAGATCTCTGTAAGATCTCCCTGCAGGCAGAGCAAAAGCTATTCCAAAATCAGTTTCAAAAGTTCAAGGAAAGAAAACAAGGGGGCATTATGCGCAGCCTGTAGTTCATGTTTCAGTTACTATAAAAATACAACAGCGTCTATTTTGTATGACGAAGGCTGGCATATAAAGTCCAAAAATTTGGGATTTTATGTGATAGACTGACACAATGCAGTAGATGCTAAAGTTTAAGGAAAACCATATATATTTTTTTAGAAATTTGTTAAGTATGTAGTGGATTTGTATTTAGGCACAGTGACTGAACTTGTGATCTAATGACAAGTCAACAGCTCAAAGGATGTGGGTATAAAATTAATTGATACAACTTGAATATCTGTCTATCTATCTAGCATTTCTTCATTCAGGAATAGGGGAATCTCTAATAAATATCTATGTAAAATAGGTCTGCAGGATTTTTAAGCTAAAGAGAGAGTGACTGCTTTAGCCAGGGGCTAAGGTGCAAGAGGACCAAAGTACAAGAGTGTGAGTGAGAGGCGTCAGACTGCATTGGCGTGTAGTCCATAAGACATTGGGCCATGAGATATATCCTTTATTTATTTTGAAGTATTGTGAAGATGTACAATTTAGTTTTAGACTGTTTTTTTTTTACTTCTTTGAGATACTTTAAGTCTCTGCTCAGTGCAACCCTTACACGATCTCTACATAAAATGTTTTAAATAGTACTATCTTTTTTTTTTTTTTACCAAGTTGTGGGTTTGTATCTTAAAAGCATTTACTGAATATAAACTTTCTCAAATTTCGAGAGAAAGTTTAACTCATTAAAGTTTACCAAAAACAAAAATGCAATCTTTAGCCCCAAAAAAGAAAATTAGGGTCGGGCAGGGACTCTATTTCTTCCTTAATACGGAAGTAAACAGACAACAAGACAATACGATCTTGGAAACACAGGTTCCTACAAAACCTGTGATGGAAAATCTGTGGAAATGACAAACAGGTGAGTGAAAGTTATGTGAACAGAGCTGCATTTAGTTCATGCTGGGTAAAGCAGTGTTGCAATCCAAGCTAAGACTCATTGAAATTTTCCTCATAGCACTGGAAAGGCCCCTAGCTCCTGGCCTCAAACTGTAAACAATGCAGGGATTAAGTCATACCAGTTATGTGGCTATCCTTTCATCTTTCCTGGGCGCTCACAATAATTCTTCAGGCCAGATCCCAGAGAAGGAAATTTCCCATCATACATGGGAACAAAGAAAAAAAAAAAGGGAATTGATTTAAAAAAAAAAAAAAAAGTTTGAGCTTAAAACTGATGTTTTGTTGTATGTAAATAACACAAAAGAAAATGTACATAAATACATTTGTTTTGATGTTTTGACCTGAACTGACAGGGAAGTTGCTGGTTTATTGAATCTGGCAGCTGAAGCAGAACCAAAAACACTTCCTGTGTTCCTGTAGCATTTGCCAAGATCCTTGTTTTGCTGTTAGACTGATTGGGATTCAATGAAATGTCTGTCTTACATTTAAAATAGACAAAGATAAAAAGAAAAAAAATATGTTTTATATTTAAGCAAACATTTATTTATCTTACGCATCAAATCATGAACATTTTGTGGGGTACATTTTGCATCAAGAAAGGTCCATCTGCTGTGACAACACAATTAGGGTGTAAAATACAGACATTATGTACAGTACCAGTGTGTTATCCACTAAAAAAAATAAAAAATCACCTGATCCTTTCGCCTCCCTGCAGAACGACACCCGGAAATTTAGAGCTCCTGTCAGATACAAATTTCCCAACCTTTAACATCTCTTTAAAAGTAAGCTATTATAAATGACACACATCTCTGCAATGTTTTTACTACAGCCCTTTTTTTAAATTAATATTCATCCAATTTAATTCATGTATTGATATAGCTCAGTACTGACATCACACTTGCTTTACCAGGTCCAGTCAATGTCCAGAAACCTACAGTGTTCCTGGAGCAATTATTATAAAATAATATGTTGTTGGCATGTTTACAGCAATGGCCATTTTAGTGCACCTCTTGCTAAGGTAGAGTTTTAACACCAGGAAGCTGCTTCCCATGCAGATGTTTCTGCTGCTAATACTCACAGCTGGAACAGTTAGGCTAACATTATGTGCTTTGCTTAGGGGCATCTAAACAGTGACTCTTGTGGAAAAGGGTAAATTTGTCTCATTACCTTTACTCACTCATATTTTCACAGCCAGCTTCCTGGTGACACATGTTTGGCTGTTTGAAATCTCTCACCATGAAGCAACCCCTGTAGGTAAGAGATCTGACTGTATATATGCTTGGAGGGCCTGGCTGTAGTTAAGTGTTTGATTGAAGTATATGTTAGTCAAAAACCACAAATGTCAACCTTATGGTAGTGCTGGAGGAGAAGTCATGGAACCAACACTAAGATTCATCCTCTGGGGATCCTGCATGTTTGCAAAAAGGTTCAGAGCAATCTATCATGTAGCTGTTGAGATTTGTCAGCCTGAATCGAAGGGATAGCCCAACACTGCTGCTTTTAAGGTTATACAAATACCACCGCTAAAGAGGCATTTCAAATATCTAAACTTCCAGTTTGGATTCCTAACCAGTGTCACAGGCAGTTGTCCTTTTGCAATAGAAAAACTGTTTGTTAGGTAAAGCAAATAAAACCAAAACCTTCCCTGCAGAAGTTTTTGCATCCATAAAACCTTTTCATATTCTTTTCCAATGCACCTATTGAAATATGGCAAAGACTGAAACACAAAAAGGTTAGCATAAAGAGAAACAGAGGAAATTGAGACAGTTTTAAGAATTTTTGCTGCTATAATAAGGGAGTTTGAGCATTTTATTGTAAATCCAATCAATTAATGTCAGTACAAAGAACAGTTTCAAAGGGATTCAAGCGGAGGGTTTTTGGAGAACACTAAACATCAAAAAGAATTATTAAGAGCGAAGAATACAGCAGAGATAAAATGTGGAGGCATTTAAAAAAGCTTAGGTTTTAATACAATATCTGAAGCTTTGAACATGTAACTGAAATGTCTTTAATCCACAGTCAGAAAATGGAAATAACATCTGACCCAGCTGTACATCACCTAACATGATGCTCCAGTTAAGGAGATTTATTCTGATACCTTTTAAGCCTATTTTAATCACAAAGGACAGAACATCATTGATAACTATTCCTGTTAATGTTTTATTGCTAAATTATTTAATTTTCCTGTTAATGTGTTGTATGAAATGTATTCAGTATATACTCTTTACCATTTCTTTCCGTCTTGTTTGTCTTTTTAAAACTATTGGATCTTAAAAAGAACACCTTTTGTGTCAAGGAACCATACCTGTAATTAATTGTAAAATAAAACAAAAAAGGAAACTGCTAAGAGGTCTAATCCAAATGTGAAGAAGCAACAGAAACCTCTGTCTGATAACAGGAAAAGTCATGCAATACACACATCTGGCTTTAAAAGAAAGGTGGCATTAAGTAAAGTATCATTGTGTGACCGGCTATAAGCCATGGCGGTGGTGATAATATCATACTCTGCAAATATCAATACAAATAGCTAAAAAAAAACACCTATAGCTATCGCAGATTTAAAGCTATTCCTATTCAATCAAAGCGTTTATTTTTGAAAGAAGCCGCGACTGCGGTCTCAGAAAAAAAGGAATCAATGTGAAAGGTGTTTTATTGTTTAAAAGGGGCTGTATTATTAAAGAGACATTACATTTTGGTTTTATTATCATAAAAAAATTATTAAAAGCAATGCGTTGTTTATGATCCAATTTGGTGTATCGTGTTAAATGGCAATAAGAGATATTAAAATTTGTGGTTGTGATGTTAAAAAAGCTTCATGGGTCATTTTTGTGCCTTGCAAAAAAGCCTACACTGTTTTATTGCCATCTAGAAATATGTTTTTACTAATAATAATAGTAAGTAAATGTTTTCCACCCCAGGTTAATTTAGAATATGAATTTGTGCCATAGCACATTATTTTAATAATATAAGCAATCATCGGGTCCATGAAATGGTTTTCCACTTAGCATGTTTCTTTTTAACGAAGTGTAGCTTGAAGACTTGGCTTATTTTCAATTGGATACATTTTTTCTGACTTCCCTGAAAATCATTATTCGAAAAAAAACACAATTTGTACAAAACTATTAGTCTTAAATTTATAACAAAGTTTAAACTGGCTTGAATTTTACAAAGTTCCTGTTTCAACAAAGAATTTTGAAAAGAAAAAAGCTTTCTGGTTAGGAAAAACCCAACAGTAAAACTGTAAAAAAACAACAACTATTATTTATGATCTGGAGGTATGAAAACATGTCACCTTCAAACTAATAACAAGCTAATCTAAAGCTAAACTAAAGCATCATAAGACGTTATCCACACACCAAGATGAATAAATCCCACTAACAAAACCAGTTCCAATTAAGTGTGAGGTTTCTTTCCTCTGATATGGGATTAAAAGCAGCTTCAGACAAGCTGCAGTGGTGTAAAACCTGCGCTGTAGACATGTCAATGAGTGTGCTCCCTTTTTGTTAGGTTGGCTTCTTTTATAGAGGTCAGAGTTTCTGTCACGCAGCATGGTTAGATAGGAATCTGGACCTTGAGTGTAAAACGGGCTAATTGACAGAGGGAATGAGCCAGAGCATATGGTTTGATTTTAACACTGTGGGTGGTGTTTTCCAAGTCTTACTGACAGCCCCTCCACCTTCCGTTTCTTAAAATTTCTACTAATTACATCTGACCTTCACCTTGATGAGTTCTCACAGCCACTTTCGGGTCGCCTGAACACAAGGTGAATGTGTTTCCTTTTGTAAATATCGTACTAAAATCCTCAGGTAGATGCTACAAAAATTCCTAGAGAAAAACCCACTAAATAGATCTGTAGACATTCCTAAATGGACCAAAAAAAAAAAAAAAAAAACGATGACAGGTGGTACTAATTTTCCACGCTTCTTCTTTTCAGAGGTTTCATTTGCAAAATGACTCTTAACATCATGCATCAATCTGTCTAGAGAGCAATGTTATTAACTAATACCCTGACTCATCAAACTAATGTAAAACTGAAGTAATATGTGTCCTTTCAACAGTTTTTTTAAAGAAGACTATAGGTCATTCATCATGCACTCATTCATATGTTCATGTATTAATTCCATGAGCTTGATAAGAGAATAGAGAAAAAAGGGTAAAATACCTACTGTTGCCACGTAACTGCATCTATAACTGAGCCGCTGTTCTTCATGAACCTGGAATTTAGAAAAATAAACTGTTATAATATATTTTATCCACCAAGAAAACATGAGTCTCATTCTTAAAGGTATTGCTATCAATTTTATCGTATTATATAATTATTATAACTAACTAAAAAGACCTAAAAGTTAGTTGTTTTATATCATCATTGATAATGTTTTATATTATTAAACAATATATCAACATCAGTTGCCACACTGAAAAAAAATGCAACCGTTTTTGGCATTCAATTATATTCAGTTACTGTAACACTTTTTTTCTTGTTAGCATGGTAGGACATAAAATAATTGTGTTAGAGTAACTAAATAGGATTAAGAAAATGCCAAAAATGGTTGCTTTTTTTCTTTTCTTGCAGTGCATTGGTTATTTCTCTTAACTCACAAGCTGCTCAAAAGTGCTATAATCTTAACAGTCCTGGTCAGAAGTTCACACAATCATCATCAACACTAACAACTTTTTCCTTGGTGAAAAACAACATAGAAATATTGATTTTTAAAAACAAAAACTGTTCTATATTGTTATTTTAACACATATTTTTTTACTCTAAAGGTTTACACACAGGCTGAAATATATCCCCATGAATACCCAGATAAGAGGAGAGGTCTTCAATGGTGCTTGCCTGATATTTGACTTCTATTCTGTTTAGAAAAGATTTCCCCATTTTTCTATTTTCTTCGCATGAATTTGGCTTTTAAGCTCAGGGAAGCAAGGGGACAGCATCTGTTTCACAATCAACACATTTAGGAATTAAGCTTGTTGCTGCTGTCCACGTGGTCAAAATATGCTTTTTGTACAGGAGCATATTTCTATAGCTTCAAAAGCTTTGATTGTAAGATAAATATGTAGAGTAAATGCATCAAAAATACATTTAGATTTAAATGTCCAGTCCAAGGTTTACAGAGACTTTAATTCTACCTTTGTTAGTGTTCAAATTCAGTTTTTTTTATTTTAAATGAGGATTTTGCTTATTATAGATTTATAAAGTAGAATTCATAATTCATATAGAAGAGTAAACATCTTAAAGCCTGTGCTTCTGAGCCTTGCTAAATCAATAATCCTCAAACATTTAAAAATATTATTTCATCTTCTTTAAAAGGACTTATCCTGTAAACTGATATAAACAAAGCTCCCCCTGCTATCTTCCTCTCTACATCTCAGGCTCTAAATCTGTGTGTTTTTTTTTACCTGACCAAAACCGCTCCATATTTGGGGCTAACAAAACGCCAAGATGTGTCTACACAGCTTGTCACAATAACACAACTTTCTCCAATGTGGCTTGTTTAGTCTTGTGGCTCTGATATTTGGACTGTTAAGTCTTTTGGAATCAAATTAATCTTATTTGCTAAAAGCAGCAGAGTGCACATGCTGTCAAACACTGGAGCTGCCCACCTCGTAACGGTGTCAACCAGACAAGAAATGTCGCTTGTTAAATATGAAACCAGTGACCCGCAGAAACTCCAGCTCTCTGGGCTTTATCCTATTCTACATTTAACCTGTACCATTTGACTGCGGCTCAATCTTTGGTCTTATAAATATAAAATATATTCAAAGTTATATACAAATATTTAACCTTTATATTGTGGTATGGCTGAAACAATCGGATTAATCGTGATTAATTGATTTTTGACATAATTGTCACCTAATTTAGTAATTGATTAATCGTAAACTGGAGTACAGAGACTCTAAAGCCTGCCTTTAGTTGACAGAGCAACACACATTAAGCAGCAATTATATCAAAACTGCAAAAGAAAAAGTATGTAAACATTTAGCATTTAAGATAAAAATCATTTTGTCCATCAATATGCTCCCTCCTTGAGTAGAAAATCTTGAGTTCTGGATCTTGTTTAATTTAGCAAAAAGTCATCTTAAAGGAACGTTTGTCTATCTTATTATTAATCGATTAATTGAAAAAATAATCAACATATTAATCGATTTGCAATATAACCGTCAGTTACAGCCCTATACTTTGGTATACTTTAACTATAATGGGGCTCTTGATTATTTAAATAATGTGAGAATCTGCAGTAAAAGAATGACAAAAGCTCAAAAAAATTGTTGTAGCATAATTTGCCTTCTTCTTTATTAAAAATATGTGCGTTTACCACAATATCTGTTGAATGAAAAGTTAAAAATACTATCAGCTTACTGCTGTGCAATTAATTGCAGACTTTCAAAATAGGTGTGTGTGACTTTTTTATTGCTCCCTTCATTAAATACCTCTAAACATAATTCTGCAATGCATCTTTATCCATGGAAAATAATCCTTATCTGTAGAAAAAAATCACTTGTATCTGTTGAGACAGGTCTTTGAGTTTTAGATGTCCCCTAGTACAACAATATGTCTAAATGGAGGTAGTATTTTCTGTTTTAAACAGCAAGACTTTTTCCTTTACCAGTAGGATAATCTAATGTTTAAATTTCTTAATACAATTCCTAATTTTCCTCTCAATACAATCAAAAAATATATAAGCTCACCTTAAACAAACTACTTATTTGGAGTGTTCATTACTGATAGGGTTGGAAAAAAAAACTAACTTGAGTCAAAGTTTGTGTTTGTCGTACAGTAGCAATAATGCATCCATTATGTGAATTTTGTTTCCATTTCAGAAGGCAAATATTTACAAAGTCTTTACTTCTGGATAGTAAAAGAAATGTTAATATACTGTCACCTGATGGACTAAACAAACTGAAGTTGTTTTGTTAAAATGAGTTTTGAGATGTAAGAAGTATCTTCCATGCTATAGCTAATGTGACTTCCCATAGTGTAAATACTGTCAAGGAAGAGGTAGAGTGGGTTGCTGTCACATGGCGATGCAGCTAAGTGGATTCAAACGCACATCAAACAGATGCAAAACTGCTTACACCAAAAAAGGATTGTTTTGATTACATTACTCTACATCCCCCTTCACAATGATTAACCTCCTCCATACAGGCATGCAAAAAATGACCTTAAAATGTAGTTTTTGCTATGGAATCCTGGCAGTGAGCTTTCAAGATTTTTGTTTCTTACTATGCTTCTAACAACAATGATTATTTCAGGTAGCCATTCAAAATGTCCCCACTTTCATTAATGGGTCCTTGGCTAGTCCCCTACAATTCCCTTTTAAACATCTAAAATATTTATTCTGTCATGGTTTTTGGACATTAAGATCTAAAATAATGCATTAACTCCTGGTCAGTGGAGTCAGAGTAAAAAGAATGCACGCCCAGGGGAAGGCCAGGGGCTGAAAGTTGGAGGGGATTTTGCTGCCATTCGGCTGTCTTTTGACTGGGAGGGGGCATTTTGAATGGCTGATACTGTATTCCACCGCATTTTACTTAGAGGCATGATAGGCATCGGCCCATATTTTATACAGCTCCAACTAAAATAAACTCTTGAGGTATATAAAAAATTCCTAACACATGAATGTCTATGTAGAAATGCATTGCTTTAGCAGCATGTTCTCTCATCTTTCCCATTTTAAAGTGTCTGAGGAAGCCTCTTATTTGCACCCTTTAGAAGCATTTTTTTCCCCCTTAAATAAAATGGAAAATATTATATTTTTATTTTCTTTAGAGAACCTTTTTTTTTTTCAAAAATAACAGCATGAGATTCTCATTCATTTTATTTAACATGACTTGGTTTATTTTCAACAAGATAAAATTGTTTTCCAACTGTCTTAGGATTACATTTGTCAATTGCTGCAATGAGCTGCAATTAATTGTACTGCATTGATCTACAGTATTTTCTCTATTTTTACCGTTCTTTTTGACTAAAAGAGGAGGGAGAGCAGAATTACTCTGTAAAACAAACTGATATCAAAGGGAAATGATGATAAAAGATCCTCCTTGCAACAGTAATGGGGCACAGCTTTAGCAGAAGAGTGAAGCTAATAGTAGTTAACTTCACTCCTCTGCAAAATCTTGACTTTTATTTACCTTTCAAGATAAAACAAAATATTAAACAAGTGTTACTGACTTTTCAAAGCAGGAACTCTAAAACCTAGTGTTTTCTTCTTTTAATAGTAAGATGACCCAGTGGTGTATTTACATTTTCTTGATGCAGGCTTCAGTTGGGAGGGTGCTGTTGGATAAGCAATTGGCGTGAAGCTAAAGCTGTTGCGGCTTCTGGCTGAAACCAGCAGGTGGAATATTGTGCCGCCACGTTATCAGTCAGATGACACTTTATTTAGGTTGACGTGGTTTGAGTGGAGCTAATACCCTGAGGCGCAAAGAGTGGAAATTCATAAACACCAGGTCTACACCATGTGTGTTTATGTGGGGGTGTGTGTACTTGTATTTGCTACAAAGTGAGGACATTTTTGGCACATTTTAGTAGTAAAGTGAGGACCTTGATGTAAAGAGAGGACTTTTTACTAGTCCTCACTTTGTTGGCTTAGGTGGGGGGTTAAAATGAGAAAATGAGTAAAGCTCTATAAAGTCTGAAGCTGCTGCAAGATACTTTCCACTACACTTCCTAATTACTCTCCACCTACAGGGCAGCCTAACAAGGAATGGAATCTGAGCCAGGAACGGTTTCTTATACTCACCCATCCAGCAAGACAACAGCATTCTTTCGGGGTCGTCCGGCATTTGGTCCATAAAGATGAGCTCGGTTGTAGTAGCGTACAGACTGCAGGAGGGTCCGCAGCTTGGCATAGTCCTGAGCCAACTGGGTGCTGTTGACCGCACGACCCACCATGCTTCGGTAGGCATTAGGCTCTGGTGAGAGGGAAAGCAGCACAATAAGACGAGAGAGAGGGGGAAAGGACTATTGTTGATGTAGTCAGACTGCTATTGTAGAGAATCCAACAAGCGGTAAAAGGAAAAAAGAGGGGTTGGGAGAGTAATTGGGCAATTCACAGTAATACCAATGGATTCAATGTCAAGGGAATAGTGTAAGCAGACATGGTGGCCTTGCACATTCATTACAACAAACACCAAAGGAAAAGGTTTGCCCAAAAAGGAGGACTCATAAGCTTTTGCAGACCCACTGCTGTTTAATCGCTTAGACAATTTATCTTTACCGTTCATTCATCCTCTGTACATTTGTCTCTTTGTCTGCATTGCTGGGACGATTTACTTAAAATTATTGCTTTCGCTACGGTTCAAGTCCTCTCATAAATTTTTAGAAACGCTCAGAAAAATGGATTTAGCATGATACTTTAAGGCTAAGTCTGAAATAAAGTTTCTAACTGGAGAATTATTGCTTATCAAGTTAATAGAAACAAAATGGGTCATGCAACAGTGAAACACTTCTTCTTTTATCCTTCAATGAACCAGAGTTTTTAAACCTTGAATGTATTATTCTAATGAAACTATTGAAACTTGGGTTTAAATGATGCATTAAATATGCCTTTTTAACCTTTTTCATATTATGCATTCAGTGCTTCCTGGATTTTACATTTAGAATCTTTTTTTTCAGTGCATTTGAGCTATGAAAGTCCAAAATTAAATATAGGATTTTTATCTCTACCAACAGGCATCTGATCTTCATTTATTTTTTCTTCCTGACAGGAATTCCAAACACAGCACAAGCTCAAAAATGTTTAGCTACATCTTGATGACAAAGAAGCCCTGGGACAGATGGAATATCTCCTGAAGTCGACTGATCTTAACCTCATGGAATCATTGAAAGAGACAGAGGAAATGGAGGAATCTTAAACCCTACCATCTCCTTAAATGTTTAACTACAAGTGTGGACAGCTGATAAACAAAAATACAGATCTCTTTCAAACAGCTACCTTATCTGCGATCTCAGTATTTCACAAACATTTGCCTTCTCAAACTGTGTTCACACTTCCTCCCTGCATATAAACAAACAAAAAGTAATGCTGGTTTGTGAAGTCTATGTGGTTTTGAAAAAAAAAAAAAAAAAAAAAACATTAATCTGAAAGGTGTGCTGTGCTTATGTATGCAACCCTCGAACACCATCCCTTGTAGAATCATCTTTTGCTACTGTCAAGTTGTAACTAAATATTTTTCTATTATTATACAGCTAGAGATAGTTTACCGACTCTTCTTTGCCAAATTGCTAAAGTTCTGTAATATTCAAAAGATAATTTCAGCATTTTAAAAACACACCACAGATTTGCAAATATAATTAAACTTGGACTTCGACTGGGCAAAATTTATTACATGCATGTTCTTTGAACAAAATAATCTCATTGTTTTTTATCTGTGTGTTTGGCTAGTAGAAAAACATCTTCAAGTCTTTTTTCAAACCAATTTTTTTCCAGCCTTTACATGCATTCAGCTTCATCCATCAACTTTAAACAGCTTAAAGGTATAGTGGAGGATTTTTATGAATTTTTGAAAAGGCCCGCCCTCTCCCTTAAAAAAAAAAAAAGCACATGCACAACTCTGTACCCGCTCCCAAGAGGTAATGCTTATTAAATGCGTGTGAATGCATGCTCAAGCCCATTTCTTCGGATGCACGTTCTGTTTAAAAGTTGCTGTTTGCATTGCTCATACAAGCTTACTTTCCAAAAGAAGATTAGCAATTTTTCCACTATGTCAGTCTTACATAAACATATCACCAGAATGATTGACAATTAGGAGGACCACTTATTTAGATGATCCACCCAGTAAAATTAACACCCTCCACTATATCTTTAACTGCCACTGTCAAAGTGACAGAACCCCACAGCACGATTCTGCCCTTACTATGTTTATTGGTCAAGGTATTGATGGTGATTTTAAAATTATCTGCCGTATTACATTGACCCTTTGGTAACTCTAAAATGTTTTGCAATGATGCCAAAAAAAATTTGGTAATTATTGTCATCTCAATATCAGTGTGAGCAATATTCACATCACAAAGACTGTTTAGAGTTTTAATAACTATTTCCTTCAGTATTTCAAGGGATATGAATTTGCAGTTTACAAGGTAATTTTATATTCCGTCTCTGAACAGTCACAGAGCAGTAGATCCTTTACTGGAAAATAATTACTACATTGCTTAAAAATGCTAAAGTTCAAAGAGTTGAAGCACAGATAAGAACAGAGGAAAGGATGGACTGGAAAACAATACAGCTTATATCACAATATTATCATCATCACTAGACTTTCTACTGTACTGCCTCAGTTTTATCTGATCAAACATCCTTACTCCTCATGTTTGCTGTGTCTGTAAGATATGATTGCTTTGTGTTGCTGTATACAGGAAAATCGTATTTTAATAAACTGAAGTTTTTGGCTAAAATATAAAACAAGTGTAAAAATGTTCTGTTTGGTGTAAAGTTGTATATATCATACAGGGCTCTGTCCTACACTGGAGAACTATGCTTGTGGAGATGGATGGTAATGAAATTTAGAATGTAATTTAGAAGCAAACAAAGTAAAAAAAATACACACACACAAAAAAAAAACTTTTGTATGTAATTGCTAAGAAAATGCCACTAAGAGAAGCAGAGAAACTTGGAAACCATACATCAAAGTCAGCAACTCTTCGGTAGATGAGGTAAAGAAAAACCCCAAAACTTACTTTTTACTACAGAGAACAATCTGTTAAATGACTACTGACAAGGCTGCATGTGGTATGCTGCTGTACTGACCGTTGCCCAGCTCCCAGGAGATGTTATACTTCTTTCCAGCACCATACTTCAGGAGGCTCAGTGTGGAGGATGTGTTCCAGGAGTTGTCTGGGTTTCTGTGCAGCGCGTTGAGCCCCAGGATCAGGTGCAGACCAGCGCAGTCGGCAAAGTTGTACAGTTTGTCTAAAGACCTGGCTGGGAGAAACCCACAAAGCAGTTGTAACTTTGATTCTTTTGATTCATTTGGAATCATATGACCATAATAGAAGCCACATGGAAGTTAAGGATTTGCTGGTTCTTGATCTCTGTGATTCTTTATGCTTGACTATAGCTCTACACTTATAGCAGTGGTGCTCTTGGCATAAAAACTACGTCACAATTCAGAATCAGAACCAGAAATCAGAATCAGAAATACTTTAATAATTCCAGAGGGTAATTACTTTTGTTACACGCTCCAGTTACAGTTTTATATAATATATACACACATCCAACTACACAATATAATAAAGATAAAAAATAAGAAATCACAATTGCTGACAACTTTCTTATTTTACATCCACCACTAAATAAAAAAAATAAAATGAACCTGGATTACACTTACTGACGTATAAAGAGATTATGAACAAAATAAACTAAAGCACTTGATCACTCAAAGTACCAAGAGACAAATTTAGTAATCACAAGATTTCATGAGTAGAAACCTTTCAAGTCTTTATTTAAATCCTGTTAAAAAAAAAAAAACAGACCTTGATATATCAGACTCAGTTTTTAAACTAGATCTGTCAGATAAAAAAAAAGAACAACTAAAGTATTTTCTTTTAGACTTAAAAGGCAGAGAAACCTTTTTGCCATTGTGTAACATGAACATTTTCAGGGCGTGCTTTGGTGGTGCGGTGGTTAGCGCACATTACCCATGTATGGAGGCCTTAAGGCGGATTTATACTTCGAAACTAGGTCATCTGCGTAGGTGTAGCAGTGAACAAAAATACCTCTTCCCCCTTCCGCAAACCCCCTCAGCACCTTTCCCAAATTGTAGGTGACCGCAGACAGTGCCGCAGACAGCAGGCCTCCGATTGGTCAAATCTACATCCGCTTTCCGGCTTCTTTTGTTTGTATGACAACAATTGCGTAAAACAACTAGTGAACTTGGACGACCTAGAAGAGGGACCATTTTTCCTCTTGGATCCCCGCTCTTTTTCGCCCTCATGTCCCTCCGTTGTCAAACAAACTTGCCCCACTTCCTCACCACTTCGGCCGTATCTAGACCCACAGCTAGTTTGTGATTGCCCCTCTTGCTTTGTGGCATGGAATATATAACATAGCGCAGTCCACACTTCAAAATTGAGCATAAATAAAAAATGTCTGCGTCAAGCTCACTGCGACACAATGCTGTGGGAAGTATAACCAACCCTTTAGTCCTCGACGTGGGCGACCCGGGTTCGAATCCAGCCTGTGGTCCTTTCCCGCATGTCTCTCATACTCCCTTTCCTGTCAGCCTACTGTTCATAAAACGAGTCACTAGTGCTGTAACAACTCAAAGAAAAATTATATCTTATAACTATTATATCTTATTTTTCCTTTTAAGAAACAATTTATTAATATTCGTAACTATATCATTAATATATAGTTTTTTATCTTGAGATGTAGTCTCATACTTTTTTATTACTTTTATTGTGTAATGTTTAATAGCATTTTTTTATGTATGATCTCTGTAAAATCTTTGTTGCTGTTTTGCTATAAATACAAGTGTATACATTTCTGACTTCATCTTTTATTTCTTTCAGTTGCATTTCTTGGATAGACTGGTGACCTGTTTAGGCTGAATCCCACCTCTCTTTCAATAACTACTTCAGAATAACCTTGCAAGGATAAGCACGTAAAGACATTCTTAGACTATATTCACTGAAAAAAACATTGGATCTGGGTGGCAGACATCCTAATAAGTTTCTCACCTAAGACCACAACTTAAAAATCTGTCTTTTTTCAAATCTAAAACTAGTAATCTGTCAAGCTCATTTATAGTGGCTAATTCATTTGAAAGTGTGGAGTATTTTATGTTGATAGTTTGGTCTGTGTTTGTAAACCCTATATGCACGTTGTTCCAGTAGTCTGCACTGTCATTCAGCAGCCTCTCCAGTGTGTCAACAAGCACTGCGTGAAGTTGCCCCAGGCTGCAGACAAGTCATTTGAAGAGGAGAGCAGCGGAGCTAAAATGAGTGTAAAGAATGTAACATTAGCTGGAGAGGCTGTTCAGATTCTAATGTTAATTTATCACTTTAAGACTTTGCAAAGAAAGAGGTTTGTTGAGTAGCACTTTGTGGCTGGGATTTTAAGCAACAGTGAAAATATCTAATACACAGAAAAGTCATGTTGGAAACATTTGTGTTTAGTGGTTTATCACTTCTGAAACTTCACTGTAACTCATATTATTTCAAGTGATATGGTCACCTTTAATTGTTAGTTTTGTTTGAAAAAGAATATAATATAACTTTATAAATCTGTAGTTTTTCAATAAGGGATGGTGTTCTATACTTTAGCAGTGGTTGTACCACCTTTGGCAGCAACAACTGCCATTTGCTAAAATACACCTTCAAACCTTCACATTGCTCTGGGGGAAGATTATCCCACTCTTCTTTGCATAAGGTTTTTGACCTTGAATACTTTGCTTAAAGACATGCCAGAGCACCTCAAGTGGATTTAAGTCTGGATGTGAAAAACCATTCCAAAACAGTTTTGTTTTTATTTTCAGACATGCTGGCCCACACTAGCTGGTCTGTTTGGATCATTGTCTTGCAGCATGGCCCAAATGCGATGGAGCTTAAGATCCCAAATGGGTGATTAACAATTCTGATACTCTCCTTTAGGAATTTCTGCTAGAGAACAGAATCTGTGTTTCCATCAATTATAGCATGTTATCCAGACCATGAAGTAGCAAAACAGCCATAGGTGTCAAACTACAACCATCAAGTTTGACCGTCAGTTCTGACTAAATGCTGCACTAGTTTGACAGCAGATACATCAGGATTCAAGGCTTTCAATGCAATGCTTTAGATGCTCTTTTAGTTTCTTCTGTGACAATCTGGATGAGACTTCTTGGGGTAGTTTTGATAGGCAGGCCACAAAAAACATAAAACAGTGGGGAAGATTCTCCTCTTGTTTCATGTTATTTCCATTTGTGGAAAGAGGCGCTCACAGCGGTTTGCTTTAGTCTGAAAAGAAAGTGATGTCAACAGCTTTAATGTCTTTTTTTAAACTCTTTTTTTTTGGAAAGTGTGTGTTCCTTTTTGAAATCGTTTAGCTGATGAGTTTTATATCAAAATTGATTTCTTAGATCAACTAATCTGGTATTAGTTAATTGCAGTGCAGTCTTAGTATCCCCAGAAATCAGGCAATTAAACCAAACTTGCTATTTAACAAGCAATTTCCCCCCATAATTCCAGATTTGCATTTGATTCAGATTACGTTTGTTTAAAAATAACATAGTTTGATCATTTGAAACATTTGAGGGTTGATCAAAAGAAAAAAAAAACATATAAAACAGATCATTAACCAAAGAATGAATGTTGGTTTGGTGAGTTTAAGTTTATCTGAGCAAACCACTAAAGATCCTTTCTCTGTGACATTCAGTGAGAATCCACATAGGATGATTTTCCCATCATGGACTCCTGCGGTGTTGTGCCCCACAGAGCATCAAGCTCTGGACGTTTATGTGCTGCAGCTGAGTGCTCACTCATGTTAATGTCTGCTGTCTCTATTAGAATACAATCTTCTCCGTGAGCAGGAAAGGTTGAAAGCCTACCACATTTGTTGGTATATGTACAAGTCTCAGAAGTATTTGTTTATATTCTAAGGTGTGATTGCAAGGTTCTCGCGGACACCTTGGAGTTTTGTTTTGAAATTTAATCTGTTTGGGATCATTCCATTAGCCTAAATATTGCCCTGAACTGTGACCCACACTTCCTAGGTTCAATAGGAACCAGATGAAGACTCTCTTGATGGTTGCTGCTAAAATCCATCCAAAATTCAAGTCTTAGGACCATCTGAGTTTGCTAAATGATAGCTTCTCCGAGCAGTTTTAAAAGACAGGAAGAAAAAAAGGCAGATAGATTTCAAGCTGCTGACAATGGCAAAGTTATTCAATATTCCTTCTCTAAAAGACAACTAAATGGCTTTAAGCGAGAACACTGCTTTATTCTAAACTAAAGTCTGATTTTGAAGCGGCCCTTTTTCCAATATTGGTTATTTACGTTTATCTCTAAAAGACCACTAGATTTGAGTGACCCACTCTGTTAGAAAAAGACAGCAGCTTGCGTGATGCTTGTTGCACCTGGTACTAATCAGCTATCGGTAGGACAAAGCATGAATAAAATGTATGCAGCAAGAAAAGGCTTATTGCTGAAAGAGTTCACAAGCATATTTCTCCAGAGTAAACTGTCTGTTCTCCATCTTATTAATAACCAACAATAATGCTATTATCATAACTGCTATTATTGTAACTCCTTCCCTTCTGTGGTTTAACCAAAGAGGTTTCTGTGTGCAGGAGCAGAATCGAGGGCAACAGGACAGAGAAAGTAGCACCAGATGTGGCTGTCAGGATGAGTGATTCCAGGCCTTTGCTCACCTGAGAGCTGAGCAGAAGGCAACCAGTCTTGTAGAAAGACAAAGTTAGCAAACCGGCAAAGGTTTAATCAATGCATCATTAGAGAAATTACTCTGCCAAAGGTACACTTTCCCTGTTGAAGGGTGCATGTAGTCAATAAACAGCTATTCACTTAGAGTACAGCATGCAAATTTGGCTAATTTCAGCTTAACCAGCTTCATGTAAACAATGATGGTAAGAGACAAAAAACCATTGGATAGTTGCTGGTAAATTAATGACAGTAACTTACTTTGAAGCTGAAACTGAATTAATGTTTGCTTCTATTATTTTATGCTTTTTCTTTATTGTTTTTAAGGAGATTTTACCCTTTTTTCAAGCCAGCCTAAAAATTTGGTTTAAATCCAAAAATGACGTTTAAAACATTATAATGGCACCAGTTTATGATGCAGGATAACTATGTCTTGCAGAGAAGATTTGGAGCTAAGATCAATTTTTTTACATAGCACAAAAATAAATCATCATATGAAGAATGCACTCTTTCCTCAAATCATCTAATATTTTCTGTTTGTTAGCAATATCTTTCTTTTACCGGTAA